AACATTTTGTTCTCATGTAAAGGACCCGTTGGTAATAGTCTAACTTATTATCATCGTTGTTGTCATTATTGTTATTATTATTATCATTATTACTACAAGTGATACCGGTAAAAGTAAATTATAATTATTTTACACTATATAATTAAGCTTAGAGTTTAAACCTTAAAATAATTTGATCAAAAAGTTTTTGGTCTTTCTTCGGTGATTTATTCGACGAAGTCACGGTTCAAGGTTGTCCGCTATAGTGAGAAGTGATTCCATTTGCTTTTATTGAAATGGATGGATGAAAATTGATCGCTCTTTCTGATATACAAATCATGTCCAGTGACATACAATTCATGTCAAAGTGAAAGTAAAATCCACTATTACAGCTGATTCTTAAGTCGCGGCACAAGCCGATTAATAAAATGGGTTTACAAAGGGAGATACGAATTGCTCTTACTGAAAAGAAAACAACAACTTAATAACAGCCTGCAAGCCACTGAGACTTATGTCATGCTGGGCCAATTTAAAACGTGGAATTTCTTATGAGTGCCGGACACCTATTTTAGTCGATGAAAGTAATTAAATACGGCAGTTGATTCAGACGTTGGATATGATGGTGCCGAATTTTAACTCCGTTTGTTGCAAATATTCCCAGTCTCTAGAAAAAGTTTTTATTCAACATGGATAACGGTTTCTATAATTAATGCATTATATTCGGCACATGTGAAATGCGACTTCTAAATCAAATGTTGAACCTAAGTCGAATTTCTACTGTTCCAGTCGCAGATTCGACAAAGTCGTATTTAATTTGAAACTGTCGAATTTAGTTGACTCGGACGTCCTATCTCAAATCAGTTACGGGCGATTCCGCAGCTATTTGAAAGATTGTTTTTGATTAGCTGGGAAAACAATAGGGATTGTCACATAACAATGTCCCTATCCCAGAAAACAATGGAAGTGCAGATTAAAGGGGACCAGTGAAAGAAGAGGTGTAGAACGGTGCAGGTCTACTGTCAGTTACCTCTCGAGAAAGTCGACGATTGGGCTGTGGGTAAAACAGTGTCCAATATTACTAAAAATACCGGTAGATACGCCATGATACATACCGCACAGTTTATATTCCTGTAAACGTAGCTTTCAATTTACCACATATGTTTCTAGCTATATGCACCACACAGGTAAAAAAAAAGAGTAAAAAAGAGATTTTAAAAAAAAACGAAAAAAAATAAGATTACGAGAAATTTGCTTCAAAGAGATTCGAACCCGGACCCTCAGAATCAGTTAGAACTAAAAGTTAACGCCTATATCCACTGAACCACCTCGGTGGATGCTGTTATAGCAATAATAATAATAATAATAATAATAATAATAATAATAATAATAATAATAATAATAATAATAATAATAATAATAATAATTTAAAAAATAATAATAATAATAATAATAACTTTATTCATAGATTCAAAAAAATAGACTTTTTACAGATTCAAGAATATGAATATTAAAATATATACCTTATGTACATTCTTCTTGTGTACGAAAGAGAATTGTCGTAAAATGACTATCTAAAAACTACTAATAGCAATTATAAAAAGCATCAAAAAGTTAATACAAAAATAAAACTATCTAAAAATAATTCAAACTGATAAAAAGTTACTATTTAAATTCTGGCTTGCGCACTTTCCGATGTAATGTCAATGTCAGATATATTGACTGCTCTTCTCTTTCTCCTGGTTCCTCTGAGACACAGCAAGGCTGATCGTAGGATGGCAAAGGATACTTTCGCCCTTATCCAAGATATGGTTGTAGCGTAGTCATAATAATAATAATAATAATAATAATAATAATAATAATCCATTTATACAGCGCCCTTTCTACAAGATCCAAAGGCGCTGTTTACAAAAATTAGATAAAACTAAAAAGTAAAAATAATCACAAGAAATTGACATTAACACTAGACGCTAACTACAAAATAGATAAATGTACACAATAGATGATAATAATAATAATAATAATAATAATAATAATAAAAAATCAGCTAACAAATAAAAACATCACGATTCATAAGCTCGCATAAAAAGAAATGTTTTAAGTTTGCGCTTAAAATCATCAATTGAGTTTGCAGATTTAATATCCTCAGGGAAGTTATTCCAAAGTTCCGGAGCAGCAACAGAAAAAGCTCGTTTACCATACGAATTGAGATTAAAATAGGGTTTAACTAATAAATTTCTATTAGAGGATCTAAGATTGCCGCTGGGCGTATACAATTGAAGGAGTCCCTGTATATAGATTGGAGCTCGATCATGTAGTACTTTGTAAGTAACTAACATAATTTTAAATTCAATACGAAAGGAGACAGGTAGCCAGTGAAGATCCCTCAGGACTGGAGTAATATAGCAAAATCTTGGACACTGGTTGACAAGGCGAGCGGCAGAATTTTGAACATGTTAAAGCTCATTATTATTCATTCTAAATATTTCTTAATTCTGATTTGCTAAAAGCACACGCATAGTTCACCACAACCAGTTACTGATGACCAAATTTAGAACAATTTTGTGTTTAACGAGGAAATGACGTAAAAAATGCAGGCTTCTACAGGTTAATGAACAGTTAACTGAGAAGACCTTGGGACGAGGTTGAGTTGTTTTGGTTGTGAAAACAAAATGGCCGACACTTCACTTGTTTCAAGAGTAAGAACTACAGCTCGAACTAGGCGAAGTAATGGCTAAAAACATGGCAAAAACAGCAAGAAAACAACTCGGAGGGCGACATCTGCTATTCGGAGAATATTTGCGGAGCTGGACAAACCTAAACGTACACTATCGAAGATGAACTTAACATCGATGGATCGATGGAGGTAAGCGTGTTTTAACTATGTTTTTAAACTAGGAATCGGAGGGTGTATCCGCCTCGGCCGATAACACCCTCCTCGATCTCCATAATTCTTCTTTAGATACGAATGTCAGATTCATTAACTGTTCAATAAATCGAGTTTGAAACAAGTATATACTCCTTCTCTTTGGTGATTGGCGGTTTTCAAGGATGACTTTTTTTTTTTTTTAAATTTCCGTGCAGAATTAAATCTTTAACTGATCGAAGCTAGTCGTAAAGCTCACAATCAACCCATTAATACCCTTTCAGGCTTGGTCCATGCCGGGGAACGTTTAAGAAATTTACGAACTATCGATCGCACAGCTACCGACTCTCCCTGCTCGTACGGTGTCTTTTCATCTGTGGAGGAAAACATTAAAACAACATTGTTCATCATTATTTCCATTGTTTTGGTTAGGGTAGCAAACCATTTGGCTTTTAGGGTTAGAAGAGCTGCTACATGATCTCTCTCCCCGGAATGAAGAAGAACAATATGGCCGCCAAATACACCCTTTTAGTTTTTAAAGTTCTCCTTTATTAACAAACGTTGAACATTTATTTTGGCAAACAAACAGTTTTAAAGTTAAAAAAGGATTTTACTAAAGTCTCAAGAGTTAAGGACTCCTTTTCGATTTTAACTTGTAATATCGGTCAAGTTACGCAACTTGTTAACTTCTGGCTCAGTTTTCGCTTGCTTTTGCTTTGAAAATGGAATAATAATTACTCAGGGGTAATACAGTGTAAATATTTGTAAAGAAAAACAACAAAAACTTGCCAATTTATGGCGAAAAATGTACTTTAAAAACGAACTAAAAAATTCAAAACGCTCTGATAACATGTCCCTCTTTTGGTATTGAAAACAATTATCAGGTAGAGCATTACTTTCCTGCAAATTTTCTCTGCCGTGTGATGAAACTTCAACTCTCTACAGCCCTCGGCCTAGTCTCCCGACTTTTAGCTCATCTTCATTGCCCCCCTTAAATTTTAAATGCCAGACGTAAACTGGTTATTTTTAAATGCTATACACAATGAAAACCTCATATATGCTATTTATTTTAACCCAATAATAAAATCTTGTCAGAGCAACAAAAACCCTAACTAGGCAATGGTCACGTGACCGATGACGTCATCACCGTATGCTATCCTCTTGTTGTCTGACAATCTTTAGGGTATAAATTTGTCAATGTTATAAAGCTTTAAAAAAAAAACTACCTCAAAAGATGCTGGAATAATTTTTATGATAATTATAATTTACTTTTATAATTATTATTATCAGTATTAGTATTTATTGTTATTATCATCATCACTAGTATTATTATCTGCCACTCTTCATTTTTACTGCTATGCATTGAAACAAATTTCCAACAAAACAACAGCAACTGTTATTTCATATCTTTTAAGGTATCAGCCACCCTTCAGGACCGTCCGCGCGCGGATCGCTGTAGCGTTAGTTGTTTTAATAAAAAAAACCCCTATAAACCATATATTTTTTAAAAGCTTAATAATTCCAGATTATGGATTTGAACTAACAAAAACGATTTACTTAAATGTGTTTCGAAATTGGGACGCTTTGTGTAAAAGTACACGTCTCTATAAATCATGTTCCACTCCCGCCGGAAATAAACGGAAGAAAACAATTAACACCGCATTCGCTTCTCAACACGTTCCACTAAAAAACCGTGTCTCAGATTTTTGACAAGTGCGTTTGTTTTTCTTTTATTACCAACTGAAGTTGGGGAAGGTAATTAGTCAACACTCCCTGTGGAGAAAAAGCTCTAGCTTTAAAACGAAAAGGAGTATTAAAATTCGCAGACACGGTTTTGTAGAAGAGATATATGGCATCACTCTGGCCAAATTTTAGCCAAATTGATTGAAAGGCTGCCAACTTGGAGTTTAAAACGTACGAGTCGATCGGCAAAATTTGCGTTCGGGGATAAAATAGAAAATACATTTTTGGCGGCATCCTACCTGGAATGAGATTATAACACCTAAATGTTTATTCTGATTGATATCAGAGAGGGATCAATTTTCTCTAACAATAGGACTTTGACAGGTAACATGTAACAGGAACAAACTTTTTATTGCTATCAACATCTTCAAGTGAACAGTTTAATTCTCCGTTGGAAAACTTCTACTCTTTTACACCACGAGAAGCACGGTTTAATTCTTTCTCGAGCAAAAGTTTTGCCTCTCCTTCGATCTTTTTTGTATGATTCGCCGAGGCGTTTTTGTTGACGGCGCCAGGCCAAGGAAACTAAAAACCTTTGAAGCCGCCGAATGTCCACCACCGATTGCTCGACGGCCAAAAACTGAGGCCCGGTATATTTCAAACGCTCTGCTCTTCTTGGAAGAATTAAAAACAGAATTTGTCTTGTGCGACGGACAGCTTTCATTCTCGCACTGGATTCTCCGGGTAGAACCAAGTCCATGCTTAGTCACTACATTTTCCATGACTTGGACTCTTCCCTGGCAAAATCAGCAAGATACAGACTCGTCCAGTTTCTCAAGCAGCTTTTCGCTCGATACGATAGCTCGACCGCTTATTGTTTTCCACGTTCCATCAGCAGATGGGGTCGATGAGCTTAATTGGCTTTCTTCATCTGGGTCTTCAAGCTGGATTTTGGAGCGGCTTGCACTCTCAGCAACTGCAGCGTTTTCGCTTTTCTGAATATCCAACTCCTCGAGCCACTTCTCTTGCTGATAAAATGAGCCTTTGTCGCTCTCTGCCAATTTTGCGGCCCATTCTTTGTCAAACTCGCTCTTCGATTTCCTTTTCGCTCTGGGTTTCGATGACGAAAACGGACACGAGCTTTTCTTTTTTTTTTTTTTTTGGCAGCATTTTCACCGAAGCAAACGCTAAATATCCACCGAGAATACTAAAGGCTATAAACAACGCGAAGACAATTCGTGCGTGTTGTGTCGAAGCACGCACTCGGTATCACGTTACTAGTTCACAGGCAAGTTAATTGACATATGACACGGGTATGACAGATCTTGTCAACGATCAATTAAGATAGTTAACGAGAAAAAATCTTTTACCCCCGATATCTTTCGACAGAAATAATATTTTCTTCTGATTTTTTTTTTTAAGAAAGCTCTCAAGTATATCTATTTGAAAACGTTGAAATCTCAAATATGGAAAAATGGCAATTTTAAGGGTGGCTGATACCTTAAAGAAACCCGCTATTACAAAAAATATAAACAAAAAGTAGAATTCTACAGTCCTCTCCCTAGTTGTTGGATGCTGTCCTCTTCTGTTTGCAAAGAATGCTGAATGAGAGAATGCGTAATCTCATCCTTGTTAAATTAGCTGCATATTCAAGAATATAAGCCAAGAAAACATCGAGTAAATAATTGTCCAATCTGCATTAATTTAAGCGACTACTCTAAGTGAAAATTGTTTAAAATAGTGCATTGTCACTGATCGCTTACTGAATCCTAGCTGTTTGTTCACTTTTAAAAGGTTAGGTCACAAATCTACAGTTTGGTTTTATTTTTCTCTTTCAGAACGAGAAGATACAAGGCTGCATCCACCTGGCTTAGTTATGCATAATCTTAAGATTTTGGGCAGTGGTTACACCGGCATCTATGTTGGTGGTGGTCACAACCTGGAAAATGTTGTCATAGAGAGTTCCTCTATATGCCACTCAGCCGAATTTGGCATTAGGGTAGCGTCTTCGCGTATTGCACTGTTGAATGTTTCCAACTGTTCGATATTGGAAAACAGGTACGGCATCTTCTTTGATTCATTGTCTGGCAGCATCAGTATAGAGGATACTAAAATAAGCAACTCGACCTCCCATGCACTGCGTATCAATGCGCCTCGTTCAGGAAGTTCAACTTACTATCTGACTAACAGTAGCTTAACCCATTGTAAAGGACTAGGCATTGTAATCAATAGCTACTATGGAAATTTAAGACTTGTTGTCACTGGAACTCTCTTTGGATGGAACAACCAGCAAACAGTTTACTCAGTGTCGAATGCATATTCGTTAATAGCCACCTTCAGAAACAACACTTTTCTTGAGAATACAGGCCCAGTGGTGTATTTTGGGAGAGGGTCCGGCTGGCTCTCCGTCTTAAGACTGGAAAACAATATTTTCGATAACAACACAGAGCCCTCAGTAGTCACAATTTCTTCAAGCTATTTAGATAAAGTAACCATACGAAAAAACGAATTTTACAATAACGAGTGTCACGGAAAGGGCATAATCTACTTATCGATACCCTCCACAAGAACAGATTTGATCATTGAAGATAATGTTTTTGAAAGAAACACTGGAAGGACAATCTGTGCAGATGGATCCAATGTTTCCCCACTCCAAGTGGTAGCCAACGTTTTCAGGGATAACAATTGCTCAAACAAAGGAATTTTGGAGATAAGAAGAATGGAAAGGGATATCACAATTACTCACAACGTCTTCAACAACAACGAGGGTCATTACATGGTCCACCTTCAAAGTGTCCACTACATACAGTATGGAATGATAATGAGAAATTTGACTTTTGATAACAATTCATTCATTCAGAACAGGGAAGTGCCCTCGCGTGTCCTTCATTGCGAGGTAAATATCTCAGGTCTCTTAGAATATAAGGCAATCACGATTAATCAAAACAAGTTTAGTAGCAACGAATTTTCAAAAGAACTTTGCGTAAACGTCCTTGCATCTTCTCAGGCACGTGTCTTAGATGCATCCTTAAACTACTGGGGCTATGAGAATGTATCTGAGATCAGAGGGAGGATAGATGACGGAAGTACTAATTACGAAATGATTTCAGTGCACTTCTCCTCATTTATAAACTCAAAGGGAATTATGGTAGATTGCAACAATCAAACAGGAGAGAATAGTCCTGAGAGACCCTGGAGGAAGGACTTAGGTGGTTACATCTCGACCCATGAAAGACTTGAAAGTAATTCCACCCTTTATTTGGCTTCTTCTAATATTATCATTTTGTCAAAAGCATCACTAACAATTGCACCTGGCGTAGAGATTCAGTTTCGCCCAGGTGTCAGCATTGTGGTTTTTGGCTCACTGTTTGCTCTCGGTACAGCAGAACACCGAGTGAAATTTACCGTCCTTAAAACAGCGAGAAAGCAATTCCCAATTCCAGTTCGTTTGATTGGTGGAAAATACCCTTGGGTAGGTCGCTTAGAGGTAGCACACAGTGGCACATGGGCGCCAGCTGCAGTCTGTGTTAACCATACTAGGTCGCGGAGACAGAATGACGCTGCAGTTGTTTGCAGGCAGCTTGGTTACGAATCACCATGGTTACACACATGGGTGGAAGACTCATCCAACAACAGCGTATGGCATTTTAATTTCAGTTGCTTTGGACGCGAAACAGACATTAGTAAATGTGCAATTACCTTTGAGAAAATCAAATGTAATCCTTCTTACCATGTCATGATAGGCTGCAGAGGAGGCCTCCCATGGGGCAATGTACGATTCATGCGGGATAGCACAAACTTAACCACCTCTGGTATTTCAATATTGGAGCACCTGGACATTGAGCACTGTGGATATAGAAGCGGACAACATGCCCCAGCCGTCCAAGCTCTTCATTATGTTCCAAAGATTAATCATGTACGTGTTGTGAATTGCTCTTCAGGGGGCCTCAAAGTCTTATATCCTGAAAAAGAATTCAAAGTGTCAAAAAGTTCCTTTGTTAACACTGGGGGAAATGGAACAGAGATTGTAGCCGCTAAAAGGGCTGTAACTTTTGAAAATATCATCTCGATCAATAACGAAAACGGGGTAATATTTACCGACACAGACGCGAAAAACCTTGAAGGATTTTATGATGGTCAAATTTCGTTGTGCGCTAAAGAAACAGCTGTTAACTTAATAAGAGATGAAATGTTTCTTTACTTTAAAGTGCCCTACATAGATGGTGCAAATCCATCGATTAACTGTAAAAAGGTTATCCAAACAGACAACCATTACGTTTTATCATTCAAGTTGTTAGTTCAGCAAAGGAATCAGTACTTGACGTTTTATGACCCGGTGGGAAGGGCCGTCATACACACCTACTACGGAGACCAGCGTCGACGCGTAGAGGATAAACTCATATTGCCTTGGACTCGTGTAAGCGTTATTCTGAGTGGTTCCTTTGATGGTGAAGTACTTTTACATGTGAGGAGGGTCAGAGCTGAGGGTAAGTAGTGAACTACAGAAAAGTAACATGGGAAGGGAAATGAAATGAAAATGAAACAATAGCCGTAGTAGTGGTGGAAAGGCAACGCAGTACTGGTAGTATTGGTAATAGTGTTGGTAAGTAATGGTAGTGGTGGCAGTGGTGATAGTGATGTTATTTTTGTTATTGGCGGAAGAGCAAATACTGATATTTCTGGTAAAAAGCAGTGTTAGTAGTGATGATTGGGCAGTGGTAGTAGTGTTAGTAGAGGTATTAGCTGTAAGATTTAGTGCTAGGTTCAGTACAAAAATGTAATGGTGCAGGTAGTAGCTAGCGATGGTATCGATCGGTGGCGGTGATGGTTATGTTGGTAAATGTTGAAGTATTGCTGGTGATAGCTATGGTAGTGATCATAGTAGTGTTGAATTAAAACATACCCTGTACCTATAATTAGCTGATAAATAATGTCTTTTTTTTCTTTTCCTGGATGTAGATATCCCCTGCACGTTCGAGCAATATGCATGCAGCTGGCAAAACTACCCCACCTCGACTTTTCAGGGAAATACCTTAAGTACCAACTGGCGTCTTGTCTATTACAGCTATAATTACTATGCAGGAGCTGACCATACATTTTCAAGTTCATCTGGTAAGTGTAAAAACCCTAGTAGGGGTAGCCAATCAGAAAGCAGGATTCACTTCATCTTGTCCGCTCGCGGATTCTCCATAATTCTGCCATAAAATAAATTATAAATTATCGTTGCTGTTATTGTTGTTTATAAATTACGTTTTGTTTTTTTAAGGCCGATACATGTACCATGGTGGTCGTTACAACAGAAACGGTTACGCTGCTTTTATGAGCCCGCCTATCATGAGGGAGAACAACACGTGTTTCTTAGTCTTTTATTACAAGATCGGGAGAAGCGGACTTGCAGCGCTCTCTGTGCTACTGGAAGAAATCCACAAAAATACTACCACAAATGGAACGTATAGTACACTGTTGTGGACCACGAATCGAACGGTCACCAACTGGAAAAAGCAAACAATAAGTCTTTCTCAGATTAGCCAAAACTACTCGGTTATCTTTCTGGGATACTACAAGTCTATTTCGTATTGGCAATACAGCTATGTTGCATTGGATGATGTACAGTTGATAAGCTGCGATTCACGTAAGGTTTCTTTTGTTCATTTAAAGCTATACTTATTTATTCTTTGGAAAAAAACTGGGAAGGGACCATCAAAATCATATCCGTTATGATGATTTGAATTTTAGATTCCAATTTCTGTTAAACCATCAGACACACTCTTGATTTCTTAAAGATAATTTCACCCTGCCAGGAAGCATTTATTTTGCTCCTTAGAATTTGGGTTGCTCGAGAAAGACTCTGTATGAATCTTGTTAGATCTTTACTGAGCATGCGCTGCATGTTGGCAGGATACAGTTTCTAACTCAGGACTAAAAGCCTTCTTCTTGATACAGCGGGCTGATTTTTTACCATCACTTTACCGACTAATGGATTCTGGCACTTAAAAATCTAGTTTGATGAGAGGAAAAGAAGATTGACTAGTCCAGAAGTTTGGGCTGAGGCGACGTCAAAGGCTTGACACTATTCAAGCACAGCCTTCTCTTCTCCTCACAATCAAGAAGTAGACAAAAAAGGACTCTGCTCGCAGGGTGTGATAATTTAAGAAGACATATCATATACTTTCTTTTTGAGAATTTCAGGGAAGTTGTATTTAATTATCTTCTTTAAATAATTTTCTTCATGTGTGTTCTTTTTACAGCACGTCGTTTCGTAAGATATCGTATCTCTGACAGCACTGTCAGTGGTAATCTCGGCCAAGGAATTAGTTTCAAGTCAACTGAAACTAAAAACCACGTTTTCGAAATAGAACGATCCAAAATAACAAAGAATGGTTTACGGGCTACAGCTGGCAAAACATCACTGGAAGGTATTCATCTCAACGCAACAAATCAAGTGATTACAATTACCAACAGTTATATAGCTGAGAATAAAAATGGAGGCATATATGCAGAATTGCAGAAACAAGATATTCCGATAGCCTTATCTCACACCAACCACATTCATGGCAATACCATTGAACATAACAGAGGCAAGGCATTGTTCTTGAAAGGAACGACTGGGCAGCCTTCTGACGTTAAGCTGACGAATAACTATTTTTCTTTCAACTTGGGTTTCCAAGCAAAAGCGTCCGCACAAAGCGTTTGTAAGTTGTCCAATCTTTCAGTCTTACTTCAAGCAAATTTCTTATATAACAACAGTGGTCAATATATCGTGGAATTTGATGGTACTCAATCAAGCCTTAGTTTGGTCAATAACACCTTGCTTAGAAACCGCGGATTGGGAGACAACCATGGAGTGACTTTCCTTTGTAATGGAGCAGCTGAGATGCATGGCAACGTCTTACAAAATCCTAACAACCGTTACCAGATTAGTACAACACTTCAAGGGATTCCTTTAACAGTCAATGCCACTTTAAACTGGTGGGGAGAAAGTACTCTGAATTTAGTCTCATCTCTAATAATGGATAAAACTACAGACTACAGATTATCTCTAACAGTCGTCTTCAGCCCATTCCTACATTTGCCGCCAAGGAAGTCTCTCTCAGGTAAGCACTCTTATCTGAAGCTTGCACTATAGTTGTTACTACCGTCTGCCATCAACTGGTAGTGAGAAAGTACTCTTTATTAGTAGTTTTACTACTAACTTTTACGATAGTTGTGACACGCAAACCATTCTATTCTGTACTTGTATGGAAGTAGCCTCTGCATGTTATTACAGTTTGTGCTGTTGTTGAAAACTGAACAACTTACAAACGAAGTAGATATGCGATGCAAGAAAACCCTTTCGCCTCGTTTCCATGCCAAGACCACTGATAACTGTATTGACATGTACATCTATCGACCTAATTTGTCTGCCTTGTTAAAAAAATTAATTATAGTTGTTCACTAAAAAGGAATTGTTCTTACACTTATCTGTAAACATATTGCAAGCTTAGCAACATAACGTTTTATTTTTCTTCAGTCTCGTGTCCACCAGAATGGATGATAGAAGGTGAACTTTGCTATCTTTACAAGGGAGCGGCTTTTACATATAAAGAGGCTGACGAATACTGTGAGGTAACAACGTCTGTAATCAATACAAGCATCTTTGATGTATGGGCGCTGGGGAACTATGGCGTCTTTCAAGATGGCCGCTAATGGGCCGCCATTTTAAAATTTCGCTTAGCTTAAAATTATACGTTTTTCAGTGCTGTTTGACATAAATATGCAATGATTTAGCATTTCGCTGCTTTTGCTGACCATAAATATTTCGTTTTGTGTCTGTATTTTACAGACCTATGGTGGATTTGTAATCAATATGGCATCAGTCGAGAATAGACGACTAGTGCAGCGTTTAAGAGAGGAGGAGTCTTCGCTTACTTGGGAAAAACGAATGCCTGCATTGTGGACTACGAAGGCATATTCGGTAAATCTGTCCATTCCCTAAATTAAATCTATTAAACCCGTCCAAGTTTGCTTTTCTTTTTGGATTGACATATGGTACATTGTATCACGATATTAGATTTTTTATTATGTATCACTGTATATTACAAGGTTGGTTTCCTTGCCATTAATAAGAAAGGTTAGATAATATTAAAATTGATGACATTAAAGTTAACTGACAAACTTCGGGCTCATCAGCAATAAAAATGGTCACAAAATTTAAGTGGCGGACTCGTTTTTCCACAACACTTTGACAATGTTGCAATGCAATTCTATCATCAATAAGAGTTCAGACAGATAAAAATGAAAATGAAAATAACGAGTTAAATCTGGCGTCATTATGTTGATTTCATATTAGACCGCACAACTACTACCTCCAACTAGTGAAAGTAGGCTAATAATACTTTCTAAATATATTTGCAGGTCAAGAGTGACAGATGCTTTATGGTAAATAACACTGGAGGAATTGAGGAATCTGACTGCGATAGACGTCATCCGTTTGTTTGTACACGACGATCAGGTATTATGGACAAACAATGAATGTACTCTTTTAGTTATCAAAGTTTTTAACGTATCATGTCATGATATGTACTCAATACTTGACGAGTGGGTTTAATATCTGCTAACTTAATATTTTTAGACCGGGGGCACTAGCGGTAGAATTTTTCTTACTGGAACTTAACAGTTATTCACATGCTCACAGTTGTTGAAGGCACAAGTGTAATAACTGGACACAGGGGCACAAGTGTAATAAGGGTCCCATCTGTAATAACATTTTGAACCCAAGCGTAATTAAGGTCCTATCTGTAATAACATTTGGACCCAAGTGTAATAAATGACTGAGATAGTGTGAGACATATCCACAACAGTCCATGGTTATTTTAACATTCCAGGCTGACATCTCGGGTCATGTGACCAATCGGAGCAAGACGGGAAAAAATACCACAGAATCTAACAATGGCTCTCGGCTTACGTTTGAGCAAGAGCCATAATGGCACAGAGACGGAAACGCCCAGTTTAGCCCTTGGGATATGTGAATTTCACCAAAGTTATTTTTGGACCAATTAATCGCTTGAATTAATCGGAAATTGGTTTCCCGAGAGGTCCGCAAACTTTTATTCAGCGCTGTCACGAAATAGTGGCTTCCCGCGTGGAGGTGCGTTTCATCGACTAAAGTGATTTTGTAAACAAAGCAAATGTTTTTGTCTTGAAAGGTTGACTCAATTGGGAGCTAGATTCTACGATTTCTACGATGATATATCAGTTTATTAGGAGGAATTGAAGTCGGCGGACAGCGATCCTAATCATGAAATTTAATTTCGGTACTGAAACCTGGGCAGGAAGGAAAAAAAAAAACAGCAAAATGCAAACATGGAAGTGGGAATAATCGTCGCACAAAACAATCAAAGCAGCCAAACGTCAATTCCAGTGAAGCGGCGTCGACGCGCAATTCGAACGAAAACGCTTAAATGCAAGCAAATCACGGCAGAAATCAAATCAGGAAAGCAGCAGAGGTGCTAACAACAAAAGGACTAGAAAGTAAACTTCGTCGCATGTGTCAGAACTTCGTATCAGAGCAGCACTAACAACTAGTCATGAAAAATTTGGAAACCAATCGAAAGCTAATGGGTAATCGAAGAAATACTCGATGTTCAGAACATTGTATCTAAAACTTGTTTCTTCAGTTGCAGAGTACGCAAACATAACCCGTCAAGTTCATTTGACATTCGAGGTTGTGGACCCAGCGTGTCAAAACATTACACGAAACCATCACATTCGTGGACAAAAGAAAATCGCTTTTAGTTATTCAGATCCAGGAGGCACTTTAAAGAAAATTAAACAACCTAAAACCCTTATGTGGAACAAGCGGCAAAATTCACATTTGTTAGATCAAAACATAGAACCCTTCAGAGCATAATCTACCTGCCAGAAGGAAAACACTTATTGGAACAAGCAGCACCATTTTAAGCATTTTAGTTAATTGTTTGACTTTCGTCTGTTTCTTTTCATAATTAAGCGGACGTCTTCTCACGGCTTTCTCACGAGGCAAACAGAATTTGAGTCCTCTTCGGACGGTCATCATCGCTTATCCTACGCTTGCGAGTAGGAACGCTAACTTCAATTTCTTGGACTGAAATGTGCTCATCAGGCTCATCTAAAATATTGATGCCGAAATCTAGACGCCTGTAAATCGCACCCGAAAAGGTCATGTTCAACAGTTTCCATTACAATATTCTGTATTGTTTGCTTTGAGGCAGTCACGCGTGGACTTGATGATGTTTCAAATAAATCGATTAAAATGAGCGGACGTCCCAGGAATTAAACTTCCGTTTAATTACAACCTCTAAAAATAACTTGAGTAAAATTCACATATCCCAGCCAACGCCCTAATATTTCCTCTCTGTCCCATTATGGCTCTTGGATGGTTTGAGCAAATTTATACATGTAACTGTCTATGAAACTTTCTTTAAAATAAAAATCATCGCTCCAGAACAAATTATTATTTCAAAAATGTCGAGCTAAACAGTTTTTAGCACAGTGGAATCTTTTGGTATTTTTTCTCCCCGACCTCTATCCAGTATTTCACTCACGGCTGAATATTATTGATAGGATTTCACGACTGTCAGTACTTTGACTAAAACGGAGTACCTTTTCTGTTTCTTATGTATTCGTGAAATGTATTAAAGCATATGGCGTTGCTAAATACAAATTAACTGTCTTTAAAAATTGAAAATTTCCTGAAATCGTTCATATCGAACGAATAAACATAACATAAGAATTTTAACGTTATAACAACAAAAATCACTTCCGTAAGAGTGTAGTAAAGCAATACTGAGCACAAAGTTTCTTTAGTTAATAATTGTAAGTGAAAATGGCCTTATTTTCAATGGTCAGTGCCGTTTAGTTTTTACTAGGCGTAAAATCCAGTTTGACGGTGACGTAAAAGCCATGAACATAAAATCAAATGGTAGGGGTTGGTTTCCTCTTATTGGCCATAATTTTTTGTTGGTATATTACCAGTTTGAGTGCAAAAGTGACTTTTAAAAATACGGCCTTTATTACCCTTGGGTCCAAATGCTGGTACAGATAGGACCTTTTAATATTATGCTTGGGTTCAAAAGGTTATTTCGAATGGGACTTTTACTACGCTTGGGTCCAAATGTTATTATTGATGGGATCTTTATTACACTTGGGTCCAGTTATTATACTTGTGCCTTCTACACTCTAGGAATCACGGAGGGAAATAGTGTGGAACCCGGGACGAAATAGGCTAGATATTAATTCCACAAAATGTTGACTTGTTAGTTGTTAATACGGCTTCTAGTAATTTCTAATAATTTGTGTCACTGAATACATTATGAACTGATTGTCATATTAAGGTCATGTATTAGCTGCTCGGAAAGAGAAGTCACCAATGTTACCTAACCCTGACACCAAACAATACTAAAACAATTGCAGAATGCCATGCCATTGTCTCCTGCGACCAATTAGGAGAGACCTTACGAGCAGCTCCCACACTATTCTTTTCATAGTACTTTGTCTATTGCTTTTTCTATTGCTTGGGATTTAGTACTACGAGAATTGGTGTCCGAACCTACGAATGACGTCAATAGTGTACTTTATAAATTTTACCTTTCTCTTTTGGTATCTCTTCCAGTAATTAATTGCCCAAATGGCTGTTTTCACAATGGTGACTGTGTTGGTTCCGTGTGTTTTTGTTATCGTGGTTGGACTGGAGAGGATTGCTCCAAGTTTCACTGCGAGGACTTGCATGGCTGTTCAGGAAGTGGAGAATGCGTAGGCCCCAATGTTTGCTTGTGCTATGCAGGCTTCATGGTGGGTTTGGACACGGACATGAAACTCAGTGAATCTCCTAGTCAAAAACGTCATTTTCTTCTTTTAGTTTCAGTAAATCATCATGCCTATCATCAACGTTTCAAAACTCAGAGCGAAGAATTAGGAAGGAAACGAGTATTTCGTCTGAATCCAGCTTAGACTTCATCAGCGTTGTGAGGTGACAGGTTACGCAACAGAAAAATTTCCAATCCCCAAGAAAGGGTTAGCTAGGATTGTAAATTGGTGGTAGGTCCAGTCCCTCATCCCTATTCAGGGAGGGTTCCTTTGTTTATGGCAATGGCCTCCTTGACTCTGCGTTTTTCTTGATGGTATATTTTCAATGCTCTCGAGGGGATTCGTAACTTTTCTGTTACCCAACCTGTCACCTCACAACCCTGATGAAGTCTTAGTGATTCGGAGAGGTAATACTTGTTTCATTTCTTATTCTTTTGCTCTGAATTTTAAAATCTTCATGATTATAATTTATAGTAACTATCATAACAACCATTATCTTCATCACCAGTATTATTACAGTAATTATGGATGAACAAGAACTATCATAATGTGTTATCTGCTGCTTTATATAACACATCTTTTTTCCTGGGTTTTTATACAGGGTAGAGGATGCACTTATTCGTATTGTGGAAAGTATGAGAGCTGCGCAGACTGCGTTCAAGATCCATTTTGCGGTTGGTGCGACAGTTCGCGCTCCTGTCTTGGAGGCTTTCCCAAAGGACCCCCCAAAAGAACCTGCCCTGATTGGTTCTTTTATCACTGTTATACAGTTGGAGATAACCGCCATTGTTCTAATAACATTCAGGTAAAGAAAAATAAATGCCTTATCTCCTCCACCAAGAAATATAACGAACATTTTGAAAGCCACTCTAACGCCTCGAAAAGTCTACAGATAAAAAAGGACTAATTATCAGATTGACGTTCAGAAAGTCCATCACTGAATTAAATCTCCACAGGAATGGTACAAAGTTAAAATTCAATGTGTCTAATCATTTAAATGTTGTCAACCAGTGCTTTGCGCACGAGTTAAGAAGCTTTTTAAGGGAAATGGCATTTTCCTAGGAAACTCTAATCCGTTTTTGGCCTGGTGATAATTGATAATTGATGTAGGGATTTAGCAGCCATGAAACACACGTTTACCTCGAAAAGAGTAAACGTCTCATGGAATGACCGTCGTCATCCTAACCTGGGAGGCGTCAGTTCGATTCCGGTCCGAGACAACATGTCTTCCTTTCGGATGAGGTGTGTGTCGAAAGTCGTCATATGCCATGTGTTGTGGTAAAACGTTTGTTATATTTTCAGTAGGACTTTCCTGACTTCGAAATAAAGAGAGATGTATATTGTCCTAATCCCGTGTAAGGATTTAGAAGCCATGAAACGCACGTTTACCTCGAAAAGAATAAAAGTCTCATGGAATGACCGTCGTCGTACTAACCTGGGAGGCGTCGGTTCGATTCCGGCCCGAGACAACCTGTTTTTCTTTTCGGATGAGGCGTGTGTCGAAAGTCATATGCCATGTGTTGTGGTAAAATGTTTGTTGGATAATTGACCTTTTATTGATCTTTATTGGTATATTGTAAGGAGGGAGCAATGTTCTAAAGTCTGCTATGCTGGCATTTTCGATTATTTGACCCTTTTATCGCATAGGTTTTATTTTTGGGAAAGGTTTTCTGCAATTTCACGTTCAGCATTGAACTAATATGATGGTGCTGTCCCGAAACGTTGACAAATGTTCGTTTCACAGATACTTGTGTACACTCAAAAAATTCTTTGTTTCGTTTGATGATTGAAGACTCACTATACAGTTTGAAGGGAAAAAAGAACTTTCCATATCTATTAAAACATTTTCAGCTCATGGACTGTAAAGGAAAATATTGCAACTATGATGATGATGGAGGAAACACTGAGTCCTGTCAAAAGTGCACAGATGTCGAAAAATGTTACAAAATTCCGGTAAGATAAAAATACCACTCTCATAAAACTAGGGTAAGTTCTTTACCCTAGAACATTAGGTTGGCATTAATAATTCTCAGCATTTAACACGTTAGATTGGATAGACAGTGCGCAATAGAAGATAAACTTTAGGGCTTGCTCCATTTATGATCATGAACAGATCCTAATGCACCGAAGCATATTGATCTAAAAAGCCCTTTTTTGGCCCTAGCCTTTAGTTGATATTTAGCTAACGCAGTACCATTTTTTTTAAGTAAAATCTGATCTAGACAAATTCAAAAGTAAGAAATTTTTGCGAAATGTCTTTCTTTTACTTATTGTAGATACAAGGAAATTGCCGGGCATGGAATGAAACTCGATGTCCTGATGGTAAAGTGCTGGTGGACTACAATGATCCTCAAAGAATAAAAAACGTGCAACTTGCTAAGAACGTTAAAATAGTAGAGCCAAACGAAACTATCATATATGCCTGTCCAATGACATGGGATGTAGAAGAGGACCCTTCCCTAATCTTTGTTGCCCCCAAAGCTCTGGATGTAAAGGCAGGTGACATACTCAGCAGTCCCCAAGCGGGTGGAATCATGCACAAAATTGTCAATGCGGTGAATGATGGTACGCAACGACTTTTTATTGATTTGTAGTTGTAAGGTAAATTAATTTAGTGTCAACGAAAACTGTCCAGCTCCTTTACTTCTTTCACATGAGAGTCAGTGTTTTTAGTGCAGTAAAACCTTTACTGCTACTATTGTAGAAAGTTTTGTTGTGGGTGTCGAGCCCGTCAACTATCCGCATTCCCACGCCGTTTCACATTATGATGATCTCTGAGCTGGACGCCCCAACCTTTCGACCTTCGAGCACGTTCGACCATACACTTGGTAGTAAAGAAAACACTGCATAAATGAAATATCAAATTTTAAGAACCTTTGGATTGAAACTTGGTCAAATAAGCATCGATCACACATACAAGGACACATCTCTTTTGTTCCTCCTTGCCGTTTCAGTCTACTGCGAAAGAAAGAACTGCATTGTTCTTGTGGGTGTTTACCGTTACATTCAGATCATTTTATTTTTTTTATTTCAGGACCTTTTAAAGTATTGCTCAGCTCTCCGGCAGGACTAGAGGAAGTAATTGATTACGCAGACTTCAAGGAAGAGCTTTCACTGCTGTCTTTAGACGATGAATTGACTCTGGAAGACGAACCAGATGAGCAGGACTTGCATGAGCTTGTGTCCGGCAACCTTACTTTTAATGGCAGCAGACTTATAATTCTTCCATCTGGTTAGAACAGACTTTCCTATGTTAGTTTTTTTTTTCCATGACGTTCGAGGGTACATCTTTCTTATAGTGAGACCTTTTCCGGCCAAGAGCGTCCATACACCTTACATTACAGCTTGGGTTATATCAATCAACCTTCAGGTTATTTACAGAGTTATCATTTAAGCCAGAAAGTCAACCTTTGCACAGTAGTAATGATGGAAGACAATGATTAGAGAGGTTTTTTTAATCAATATGAGTTTAACTGCCAGACCATGTTACGCAATAGAATTTTCCAGACATCTACACCTAATTTTTGTTTCCAGTTTACGATATTTTGCTATTAATATATCACTGTCAAGGGTTTTCCGTATGTGAAAAACATTTCAAGCTCCCATTTTGATATTCTGCGCGTTAAAAACTCACAAACCTATGAGTTTTTTTTAACGTATCTGATAGCACCGCTCACATAGAAGTATTTTCCACGCGAGCTATTTTACGGAAAGTTTGGGCAGCTTTTTACGCCTCTAGGGGGGTATTTGAACTAAAACTGTAACGGCCCCGTCAACAGTTTGACCATGGCACCACAGTTTTTGATTGCCGACCATGTCTGACCATGATCGGCAATGGTCGGCAATGGTGTGACCGTGGTGTGTGACCATGGTCTTTTGTCAGCTCTCGACCATGGTACATTGCCAACCATGGTTACCAAATACATTATTGTTTTTCATTAAATCAGTAACAGCAAAATAACACAATAGTTATATTTGTGTGATTAACTTAAAGTTTTCGATAAAATTTCTGCTTTGTTTTAATTTTTGTCGAGGTAAATTTTGAAATGAATCAAGACCACGAAAAACCATGTTCGACCATCTCCAGTCCTTTGTCTGACTCAATAATGCAAATCAGTTCTTGTTGATAATATTTCCTAAATTATTTGGAAGACACAGGCAAAAAAAGAATGCAAAGTTGTAACACTTTAAAGACCATGGTATGTCACGTTCGACCATTTTTAATGTGGATCTGGGAACTGAAAAAAACCTAAACCTGAAACCTGATGCCAATTTTATTTTTATGTGTGTGTAAGTGTCTGTTAACGTCTTCTGTTTAATTTGATAACAATATTTGTTCTTTTTGTAGGATCAACAGCTTACAAATGCCTCGGACACACGTACAACGTGGATAACTTAACCGTTCACTCTTATTACCTTGTGTTGGATAAGCTACCTGCTTCTCCTAATATTGGCGACATTATAGTTGCTAATGAAAGCAGTGGTTTTATTGAAACAGTTATGGGAACGTTTAAAACTGATGAAGCGCAGTATCTGGAAACGAGGCTACTGCGATGTACAGACAATTTTCCATTAAACAAAACAAGGTACGAATTTGAACAGAAAATTTGTACTGTAAACAGCACTGGCTTTACTGATATATAATATGCACAATGAAACAAGAAAGAGGCTTAAGTGGACAGTTTTATACAAATCTCTGTGTCTTGTTACCCCAGGCCTACTTCCAAAAAAAATGTGGCGACGAACAACTTAAACTAACCCCTTTTTTTTTGTAAATTTATCAGCCTAGAGCAGAGTCAACAACATTTTGAAAAGGTGTCATCTTGTAGTGGCGGAGACAACAACCCAGGCCTTTTAGTTTTGCCAATCGAGCAGGAAGAGCATCAGTTTACTGTCAATGACCCCATTATTGGCAGGCCAAGTCAAGGACTCATTGCAAAGGTGCATACCTGAACTTAAAGCTTACGAACTACACCCCCCTGCCCCTGGGGGGGAGGTACTGCTCAAAGCATTCAAAAAAGGTACATTCGACTCCCGATAACTCGAACATTCAAGGGAAATCGAAAAAAGTTCGAACAGTTTTTGTAATGCACAGTGAACATTTTAATCACATTTAATTGTAGAGATGTCACGTGAAAATTAAAAAATACTTCTCGATTGAATCAGAACGAAACGTAACAAAACATAGCCTAAATAGAGCATGCGTTTTACTGTTCTGAGAAGCAAAGCTGTTTCACGTTAGATTTGTGACAAACAACATCAGTCTTTACTAGTAAACTATACTACTACAACATGTCAGTGGGAAATTCAAAATTCAATGTTTTGACGCTAGTAGACTGTTTTTTCCCCTGACTTTCTAGTGGCTCAAAACATGGTTCGAGTTATCGAGGGTAAAATTATCTAGAAATGGTCTGAGAGGAAACAAAACCTACTTCGAGTTAGAGGGAGGTTCGAGTTATCGAGGGTTCGAGTTACCAAGGTAAAATTAAAGTAAATGGTGAAGTCGATTTTGGTTCGAGTTAGCGCGAGGTTCGAGTTAGCTAGGGTTCGAGTTATCGGGAGTCAACTGTATAATCAACACAACAAATAAAAAAGAAGGGCACTAAGCAATTACTTTATATTTGCCATTCACAAGTAATTTCTCAAGTCCATGGCGAATAAGGAAGCGTAATTGGCAGTATTGACAAAATGAACTAGGCAGCCGTGTCACAACTCCTTTAATAGCTTGTTACCTTGTTAACGAAAACAATACCATCATGGATACCAAGAAGAAAAACATGGTGAACAGTAATTTGACACCTTTAGTTCAGCGTGTTTATTTACACTCTGAGGAACTCTCGATCACCACTACAAAAATTTACCGTCATGGGCTTCTGCAGCTTGTGGTTATGTGATATTTCCCTTCCCTTGTGATCAAAATGATACCCTCACTTACTTATTGATTAAGCTACTTAGAAATCCTCGGTGTTATTTGCTGTTTAGCTAAGTGTTCCAAGGGGTAGGATGTTAGACATTAGAAAACAATTATGGTGTTAAAGAAGTCTACCAAAATAAGAATATAATACCTATCCTCACCATTTCTACAGGTTGTGAAAGTGAATTCCTACAAAGATTCGCTTCTTATCGAGGTGATTCCCGCAAAAATGGATGTCAATCAGACTGTCAGTACGGCCGTATCGGTTAGTAAATTGAAACACCAACACAGACGGTCTCGGCGTTCCGTAGAGAAAGAAAGTAACCCGGGTTTTGATTTTGATGTCGTCCATATTTCGGAAGACACTGGACGCTTTAAGGTAATAACTTTAAAATGTTTTGATGATCATGTGCATTTCGAGATTTAGCCCTTTTTAGGGTTGTTATTTCTATAAATTTCTTTTTCTTTTTTCTGGGGGGTTCCCAAGCGCGTCCCAAGAATGCCATCCAGGTCTAGAGAGGTTACGTACCTTACATAGTCGTCGTTAAAAATAAGATTTTCTTTGTGAGTTAATTTACAGGTCATTTTTGGTATTTAAATATCATAAAAAGTGTTGGGTCATACCTGCGCTGTATGGATGCATGCTCAATACACTTAAAGAATTGTAAAAATGTGTTTTTTAGAACATTCATGGCTTACAGTCCATCGTTTCAAGCAAGTTGTTGGTAAAATAAGCAGGAGCTCCGCTTTAAGGCTTGGCTTATTCCACAGATGTGGACAGTTTTTCTCAAAGACATATTCCCTCTCGCAGCAACAGCCATATCAATCAATACAGCACGACTGGATTTGCAGTATATTCCTCTTTTCATTTCACGTTCAGTGTTAGTATAAGCAGCAAGAGCTCCCTTAAAGCTTGGCCAAATATTTACATTATTCGGATAACTTTTACAACTGCTTTTACAGACTATTTTCTTCCAAGGCAACTATAATTTCCTTGAGAATTCTAGTTGTTTCACTTTATCAGGACATTATATCATTGTCGTTATATTATCTGTATTATTCAACCACTATAGTTGGTATGTATAGTAACACTTATTGGTAATTCGACTTTTAACAGATGATATCAAAGGCAGGCTCCACAGTCAAAGGTCGCATTTCCGCGTCCCTGAAAGTGAAAGTTTCTATTGGTATCGAGAAAACGTTCCTTTCTTTGAAAGTAAAGGACGCTTATGTCGGTCTTGACGTAACAGGTACAATAAATGCCGAAGTAGAAATCAGAGTGGTTGCTGGGCTGAGGTTGGTGTAAATTAATATCTGATATATAAAATACGACCAGCAGGGAAAACAATTCGGATCATTATTCGTTTCTTGGCCCACCTATCCCTCCCCTATGCCACCATTTTGTCCTAATTGAGAAGTTAATGTTAATGTCTGCTTAGGGAAGGGGTAGGTGGGCAGTTTCCCAACAATGTATAATGATTCGATCAGATATTTTCCAAAAATTCAATAAAAGTTTGCTGTTTTAGAGAAAATTTAGGACCGTGACTATCATGGCTGTGATTTTGAATGACGTCACAAGCCTCCGTTTCCGCAATTCTTTCTTGTAATGTACAGCTTGCAATGTAAAAAAATACGATAAACAGCATGTCGCGAACTTGGGACAGCGAAAAAGTACCCGACAGGATTCGGGGGTGGTCCTCTATCCACCGTGCTGCGGCTTCGTGGTGGGCACCGTACCCTTTAGCGTTTCTCCGTAGCTCAGCCGCTGGAAATTAAATTAAAACGTCCCTCCGTACACCAGTCCGCCCCCTTGTGTTAGTGGATGTGAAATGTCACCCTTACTAGCTTGGTGTCCAAGGCCTACACAATCTGTTTTTAACTTGATAGTGGACAACTATGTTATGGTCAATTGACAGCTGTCTGTAGTAACACGAGACGAAAATGTCACTTCCGGTATACTACACTGTCAAAAAGGAATATCCGCTAACAAGTGCTACATGACTGAATAACGGGCTCAAGTGTACAACTCAGTGAAGCGTCATGTTTTTAAAGTTATCCGCTTACCAGTTGTTGGTTTTAATTGATTGCAGGCTCAGGTTCATTTTCTTTTCAGGGCCGGAATTCAGTTTACTTCCTGCTTACGACAAAAGTTGAACTACTTAAAAAAAATACTTCTTTTAAGATCCCATGACAGCTACGCTTTTAGCATTGGCTAAATCTATAAATCAAATAATTAAGGAAGATAGCGATTATTTTTACATTATCGTGTCAATCTGCATGATCTAGTCAGAGAAAATTGGGAGTAGCGTCTGTTTCGTTTTCATCCAGAATCCTCATCCAGCCTTCCTCTGTTCTATAGCTACCAAGGAGAGGTAATTCCACTGAAACGCAAGCAGCTTGGTAGAACGCTGTACATTCGTATGGGTTACATACCGCTTCCCATCGGAATATTTGCAGAGTTAAAAGGAACGGCTGATATCGATGTCGGGGTAAGTACATGCGTCAACTTGTTTGATTCCCACACTATAATTAATTTAACAGAGCTTAAACGCACCAGCTGTAAAACTTGCTTGTTTTCTGGCTGATAACTGTAGAATTTCGAGAGTCTGTACCCTCTTCTTGGTAAATGGGTAACGTAACAACGCACAGGCCCATGTTACCGTAGCGAAACCTGATTCCCATTAGCAAAAATAATAACACTCCTTAACAAAAATCACTCCAAGGTGAAACCTCAGTAGCAGTATTTTGCCGATATCCATTCATACACCTGGGCGATTGGGCGCAAAGTGGATCAAAGGTCTTTGTTTATGGAAAATAGCGACGGCTATGACTGAACTCGGACCTAAGCCACTACCACGCCTGCAGAACGTCTAATTGGGAAGATCTATAGAGCTTAGTGTTCTTTTTCAGGGAAGACTGCGTCATACTATTCAGAGTGTTGCCAGGGTACCCTTTGGAGGAGAATGTCGCTTAAGCAGTGGATGCAAGTCCACGGAAAAATCAGTAAGTGTAATTTATAAAGCTTTGTAGGCCAAAGCATATGCGACGTGGATGTAACCAACTACAAAAAAGCATATTCCCTTACTTGACTAGTTAATGATTTGATTTACTATGCACACGAGCGGATTCCAAATTTTGACTTGTCTCACCTCGCAAAAAATTATTTATCAAATTTATACCAGTCAGTAAAAGTGGCAAAATAAATTATATAAAGGGAGTAAAAATATGAACTTTTACAGCTTAAAGCCTTCATAAAAATTGAAAACTATAGCCTGTTTCAGGTGTTCTGACCGAGCAGAGAGCGTGGGCGAAAAATTGACGCGGAAAAATAAAAACGAAGGTCTGAATTCCACGCTCTACTATCTGAACGCCTGGAACAGGCTAACTTAAAACAACAGTCATTGTGGTTCTCACAGTTTTTCAGTCTTTTTCGAACTGGCAGATGACGTCACAAATTCGCCATTGTTTATTGTATTGCGGCGAGCCATCTTGACTTTTGAGTTTGCAGGAAGTTAAAATTGTCAACTAACGATTAATTCAAGCGGGAAGACCTCAACCTCAAAAATATGTCTAAAATAAGCTTTGTATAACTTCAGTTTTAAAATTATCTTTAAAACAAGTTCATATGGAGGGATATAGTAAAACCCCGCGACTAAGAACTTGGATTTTAAGAACCTGGCTAAAATTTGACAGTTAATTGACCTCTGTATAAGAACCTGTTTTGCCTAAATTTGAAACAGGGTCTTATTTTCTAAAATCTATGAGAAAAATTCTGTACACCTGGGCAAATAAGATACGTCAACGTTCAGAATCCTTTTTGGAGACATAAGTGCCTAAATACATGAGTTAAATGCTAAGATTGCAAGGTAATTCTTTAAGAGTTAAATCAACTTTTAGAACTGATTGTAATAGGACAATGAATTACAGTAAATGTATGTTATGTTCCGAATTAGGAATTAAAAATAGTTATGAAGTCAATGCTTTAGATTTTTCTTATCATGGTCATTTTTACATGTTAACTTCGAATTTGGCATGCAGATTTTATATGACGAGTAATCTGAACCACTAAATACTCTTATACTGTACATGTATTTTTTTTTTCTTCAGAAAATATGAACCTATTTAAGCACCTAAATAGCCTAAACTTGTGCTAACTACCATTTATATAAGAACCTGTTTGGGCTAAATTGGAAAACTCCAGGTTCTTATTCGTGGACTGGTTTTACTGTATACAATTAATTATGAAGGAGGTCAGCAAATGTAGCAAATTGTTTCTTGATGAACTTCAAGAAATGTCCTTTTTGGCCAAATAAGCCGAAGTAGTACTAGTGTATTTAAAACACGGGCACTTTTCATATCTATTTCCTATCTATTTTACAGGTTTCGTTTTCCTCAGACTGGACAGAGTTGGAGACCGAAATATCCGCCCAAGCAAAAATTGAATTTACTTTAACACCAAAGTTGTCAATAAAACTTCCTACAGCACCTCGATGGATTGGTAGACTGATGAAAACGTCCCTATTCAGTCCACTTAAAAAATTTTTCAGTAAAGGTACTTACAGAATAAAAAGAAAACTTGGCTGGTCAGGTGTTGCAAACTGAAGCGAAACTATGGTCGTAATTGATAGATAATTTTATTGCAAGTGACAAACATTTCCGTTTCTTTCTTTTCTTTTTATTCTGCAGTGGGAAAAAATGGGAAATACGTTGATTTTTCAGTATCAATTTACGTCAGTGCAACGCTTCAAGCGAGTGCCTCATTGAGTTACCCATCAAACTCCTGCCCAGGCTCCAACCCAGCAGAGCTAGGAGGTTCATATGGATTGGCTGACGTGAATGTTGGAACGACCATTGTTCTTGTGGGAAAGGATTTTGATCTTCCGTTTAGCTTGGGATATTCCAAGATGTTACCGCTCAGGTAGCTCTTAAACAAAAAAAGTTCTTTAAAAGTAGCCAAAAAACAGCAATGGAGCTCAAGGAATTCATTTTTTTTTTTTTAACGAAAAAAACACACATTCTCCAGGGGCACCCAACTACGACTTTATGTCTGTAAAATAACTGCTCTTAGGGGCAAATATTGCTTTGAAATACGATTATCGTTAAAAAGAGGTCTCCTGTGAAAAACATTTAAGACACTTCGGAAGTATTTGGAATTATTTGGTCTTTGCGTGCCCCCACAGGGCACTTAAGACATGACTATCTCATTAAATATGCATATTTTGATAAAATGCTATTTAGAACGCTTTGCTTCTAACATATGATCCTTAAAAAATGGAACTACAGTATGATGTAGTTTACTGGCCTTGGCAATATGAGACGTTTTAGAGACCCAGGTTTTGGTCACGTGACTGATAATTGAGAATTAACGGTCAAAATATTTACTCTAAAAAGGGGGGGGGAGGATAGTGAAAGAGCAACAAGTTCTTTTTGGTACAATTTAGAGGTTATTAAAAAGGTTCTGAGAAAGACGCCTTGTATGTGTTCTAACGTTATATACGAATCGGTAAATAAAGGGAAAAGGGTCACGTGACTTATTAATTAGTTAAATAGCTAATAGGATAAATGACATTTCCAATAATACAAGGCAGATTTACTATTTGAACTGTTTATGTGACGTTTCGGCTGTGAAAATTCCTAAGATTAAGGTTTGCAACCCTTCACCGGTTTGGAAAACGTGCTTTGTGACCTCATTGACGAAGCAATGCCACATGTTATTTAAAAGCACGTTTCACGTGTGTTTTTTTCGTTGAGCCATATTTATAGTTTACTTTTCAGGGGCACTGATGGAAGCAAACCGTTCTAAATGCCAGTTAACAAAATATGCATATTCATTTTGGTAGTCATGCCTTAAGTGGTCTGAGCCTGAAAAAAGTACCCAAATAGTAAAAAATGTAATGTAAATATGTGTAATGAGGCATTTGGTATATGTTTAAATAGAGTTCTCTTTTGTTCCTGAACTGTTATCATCGTTTTTACCCTTTCAGCTTGTGTATCTGTCCAGTTCCTCGAAATAAGGTAAGACCGACAAAACTTAGGTGTCAGGTAGCACCAAGAATTTTTTCTCGGCCATTTAATTATAGCGGAGCTCTCGCGCGCAAATCGCGCCAGCGGAGCACCATGGGTAAGTAAATCTACCCTCCACATTAATATTAAGATCATTTGACAGCTCTCAAAATAAGGCATCCGCTGACCAGTATCACCTGACCTTATCGCGGGCTTAGGTGACTACCCATCCCGGTCGAATATTTTTTGAAGTTATCCGCTGACAAGTTACTAAGTCTTCAAATGATCACAGGCTCAAGTTAATTTTTTTAAAAATGCATATGACATATGTTGTGTTTATTTCACTATGGCCCAGCACTAAAACATTTACTTCTTGAAGAAATTCATCAGGCTAGTGAAGTTATTTAAAGCTTCTGAAACCTTTGACGATAAAGATGGCTGACAGTCATCGAACCTGTCAGCATCATTAAGACTTTTCTTGGTTATGTTTTGAGAACATTTAAATAGACTATTAACATTTAGATTTCAAACTGACCTCGGACGCGAAAATTCAGCCAGTTATTTAAAAATACAAGCAGGGAAGACAGATGTTTTTCAACCATAGTCACGCGCTGGTCACGCTTTACGTCTAGTTATTATGCTCTGATTGGTCAAAATTTGACAGGTGAATCCATGCGGAAAATTTATGCAGCATCTTGAAACTTGTTTACTTTGACAGCTGAATCTGACAGAGTTTTCTGTCAACTTGTGATGTTTTTAACTGTCTTTTTATTGGATGTACAAAATGAAATACAGCTGCCATAAAGAGTCTGTTATTCATGGTTGGTTTGTTTATTGAATTTTTGGTTGAGGAATGTGCCTCCTGTCAAAGTCGGAAATCCGATTTCGGATGGCATCGTTTTTGTTTTTCATCTTGCTAGATGCTTAACCCTATTTAGACTGGGGGGGCTTTTCGAACCCCCCCTCCGGCAAGATCGTGATAACTCCTACACCGAAAGAGCTATGACGTTCAAATTTTCTGACTTTTCCTAAAATTTATCTAGGAACATTTTATAATAATTACCATGTCCATGTGATTAATCATGTTGCCATGGCAATCAGTTTCTGACACATAGGTTTTGGAAAATTTAAAAAATGGTGATTTTTTTGTTTTAAGATCGCGTTTTTACACTTATGGTGCTTTTTGTTGTTAAAATGGTCTTTGCTTGGGACTAGTTTTTGAATTACATCAAAATGTTTCAACATCGAATATTTGGGAGGGAGGGTGGAGTAAAATTTGTCACTTTTTTGCTTTGACAAATATGCTGCTCTATTTTCCAAATAACACTTCCAAAGTCATTTGTTTGGGTAATAAACATTAGTTTGATACTTCTTTTATACATTCTGAGCTTTTTTCCCTTTGAAAGTTGCTTTAAGTTATAATTTTAACAAAAAAACGGAAATCCAAGATGGCGGATCCAAGATGGCGGATCCAAGATGGCGGACAACCATTTCAAATTTTAAATTTTATTGCTTCCTATTGCTTTTTCTCGCTGTACAAGTGTTTCCTTGTTACTAGTTCATAAGAAAGGATAACAAAGAGATGACTTTACCAATATTATTGATATTTTACGTATCTAAGTGGAAAAATAATAAGAGACATTGAAAAATTGGAACATGACGTCACTGTGACGTCATCATTGGGCGTGGCAAGTCAAAACTGGGTGTGGGGCTTCTTTGTACGGAGATGATCATTGTGTGTAAATTTCATGACCCTAGCATTATTGGTTCCAGAGATACAGAGGGGGGCCGAGGAGCCCCCAGTCACAGATTGACCAAAAAAGCCCAGTCTGAATAGGGTTAAGAGTGTTAAAAAGTCTCAAGCGATTCTGGCCTTACTTGATAACTTTCAGGAGCTGCATCTCGAATGGTAAGCCTGAGTAATCATTGTATTTATACCTAATTACATGAAGTCGAGCGCAGTTTATAAGGCTAGTCTAGGCACACTAGTAGACACACTAGTAGTAGGCCAACGTGTGAGAAATTACAGTGACTGTTTGTATGAGAATCTAATGTCGAATAATTTCCGTAAAAACGGCTGTTCTGAAAATAATATCAATTGTAAACTAAAGCTACAAAGCAAAGGATTGTCCTAAAAAAATTTGGGAGCGTACCTGTGCTTAAATTTCTATAGAGGCTTGCTTTAGATTTTCCATATATTTGTCTGTAATTTTGCCGGGACTTTCTTACAGACAAATATATAAAAAAATTTAAAAAGTGGTTCAAGGTCTTCTAGTGCATGTAACGCTTTCAAATTTTTTCAGGAGAATCCTTAGGAGTGAAGCTTTAGTTTACAAATCATATTTTTTCAGAACAGCCGTTCTACGGAAATTATTCGACATTAGATTCTCATACAATCACTGTAATTTCTCACGCGTTTGCCTACTCGTCAAGATGGCGTCGAAAACCGTGACAAGGTCTATTACTTGAGGCACTGAACTGACCTAGGCGATGAGGTTTGATATAAACTTACAGAACTTTAAAAACCCTTCACTCGATAATATCTCACGGCAAATAGAAAGGAAAACCGTTTTGAAGAATATTTAATTATAATTTTGGCTGTAGAAAGAAAGCTTTGCGCGATTTTCTTGTCGCGAGTAATTCATCTTTGAAAACAGCAAGCACCGGGAAGCCGGCGGCTTAAAACATAAACTTGAGCTTTAAGCTTAAAGACTCAGGATTCTTAGAAACACTATAAAAGTTGTTTTCGTGAGTGGAAATTGTTGTCTCTCTTTGTAAATGTTCTACCGAATTATGTTTCCTTTATTGATTGTTAGTGGTCTCTTGCAATTTTCATCGCTTTGCCGTTTGTTTTCAGTCGTTCATAAACATCGCTTGCAGGAGTACTGTACTTAAAATGCCCCGCGTATCAAACGCTTTTTAAGGTTACACATTTGATAACAAATAAACACAAAGTCTTTATTATGTTGAAGCGTAACTCTTTTAAAGTACACTGCAAATTTGGCGCTAATTTTGTCAAAAGTGAGAACCGGCTGACCGTATGGGTGATTTTGGAAATATTTTGAACGGTTTTGCTAAAAGCCCATGCGTGCTTCGATGGTTCGAATATTGAATGAGTGCAATTTGTCCTGAAAAATTGTGAAATACTGCATTTTGTCTAAGGTCTGTATGATAAAAACAGCGCGTCATAGCACTCTTTCACCTTAGATGTGCCATGTGTAAAGAGTATAAAAGGTTGGTTTACACGCACCCAGATTTGTTGGCAAGATTTTGTAAAGTAAGCTTGTCGGACGCAAAAAACTCGTCCTGATTTGTTTTCCAGGCCTAATCTACTGTGATCAAGAACCATTTTTTCTCTTAAATGTCACGGAAGATGATTGCCAGTGCTATTTTTTGGGTGTACATAATACATGGCTATCAACTCGATGCAAGATTTGTTTCACTCTAAAATCACTTAGCCTTTCCCTCAAAAGTCACATGAATGTGCCCTTAAATTAAGTGATTTGAGGCTTACAAGTTTATTGTTTGATTTAAATTATAAATTAATTAATGGGAGCCTCGCTTTTAGCCCTGGCTAAATCTATATATTAAAAACAAACAGACCAAGAATCACTTGGTGTATCTGCTACTTACCATTTTCTGATGCCATAATTTTTGTTATGAAGTCGATTCAAATCAAGGTGAAATAATACAACTGCTTTGAACAAGTCAAATGGCACATCTAGTTGTTATGTCTTTTGAATGTTTTTGCCAACGATAGTTCTGCACAGGAACCACAGTCCGACCAACTGAAAAACCAAGTGAGAAACCAGTCATTGATGACAGCAAAAACCCTGAAAGACCCACTCATGGAAACCAAGGAACTGGAGACGAAGGAAGCCATGGTGGCATGAAGTGAGTTTTCAACCGTTCTCCAACCTTCGAACGTTTATAACCTTAAGATATGTAATTTTGTAAAAGATACATCATACATTTTTCTTCTTTTTTAGCTCTGTTAAAATACCAGCACCACCATGTGGCAAAGAACCTTGTTGCGCCGGAAATCGAAAAGGACCTGGTTGCTCACAACCTGATCTTTGGCCATTTCGAGGTAGGATTTCGGCAATCACGTGATAATATGTCAAAATAAATTTACGAAAAACGATCCAGCTTCCAAATTTATTTTGATTTGACTAGTACCACGAACGTATAGTACCTGTATGTACGGCGTCTTTAAGGTGGCTCGATACAGTTTTTCAAGGCCAATACCTCCCAAGTTTGAACATAAACTACGTCGCCATAAACAAAGTTTTGGAAAAATTGCCACCACAGTTGTATTAGATAAAGATGAAAATTTGTTATGATCAGGGTTGCAACGGCATCGGAGTTGTCATAGCAACGAAATGACGCTATTACCTATTTTACTTGCAGCAGTATATCTCAGCACTGAGAACTGTTCTTCCAAAACCATTCACGGGAGCGTTTTCCTCCAATAGCGGCCTCGACGTTCGTAAAGTTTAGCGAAATCTGTAAGAGCGTTATCGAGATATTTTGGGATAAAGATTTTATGGTTAGAAATACGGTAAAAAAATGGATAATCTTGATGTTCGGCTGTTATCTGTAGAAAATGAAGCGCTTTTTACATGCAATTTAACCTCATAGTAGTTTCAATCTTTTTAAACACGTGTGTGAAAGATCATAGAGATAGCTCCAGCCGATTGCTAGAAAGAAGGGTTTTATTAGTATGTATCGAAGCGCTCTTGCTAGCGGTTTTGTAAACATTTTGGTCTTCTTTAACAAATTAGCGAATAATTTTTAAACCGCTCGATAGATTTTTTTGAAAATTTAAGATTCTTGAGATTAACCTTTCTTTTATATGACCTTTTAGTTTCAAGATCATTGTTACATTGTAAGGCAGTAAAATAAGGGCTACAATTCGTTACTTTTCTATCGGAAGTTTCGTTATTACAAGTGAAAACCTCTCATTATTCAAGGCATTGTCTCCAAGTTTCATTTTCACGTGAACAACAGTAACTAACAATGCATTTGACATATGCAAAAATGCTAGCTATTGTTATGCGCGAAAATATGAACCTTGGAGACAATACTCTGAATAATGAGAGGCTCACATTTGTAAACAAAAAATTTCTGCAAAAATACTAGTGAATTTTAGCCCTTATTTACTGCCTTACAATACATCAATCATCTTGAAACTAAAGGGTCATATAAAAGGAAGGTTTATCTCAAGAATATTGATTTTTTTAAAAAATCTATCGAGCGGTTTAAAAATTATTCGCTAATTTGTTAAAGTAGACCAAAATGTTCAAAAACCGCTAACAAAAGCGCCTCGAAACATACCAATCAAATCCTTCTTTCTAACAATCGGCTGGAGATATCTCCACGGTCTTTCACACACGTTTTTAAAAAGATTGAAACTACTATGAGGTGAAATTGCATGTAAAAAGCACTTCATTTTCTACAGATAACAGCCGAACATCAATATTATCCATTTTTTTTACCGTATTTCTAACCATAAAATCTTTATCCCAAAATATCTCGATAACGCTCTTACAGATTTCGCTTAAACTTCACAAACTTTGAGGCCGCTATTGGAGGAAAACGCTCCCGTGAATGGTTTTGGAAGAACAGTTCTCAGTGCTGAGATATACTGCTGCAAGTAAAATAGGTAATAGCGTCATTTCTTTGCTATGACAACTCCGATGTCATTGCAACCCTGATCATAAAAGATTTTCATCTTTATCTAATACAACTGTGGTGGCAATTTTTGCAAAACTTTGTTTATGGCAACGTAGTTTATGCTCAAACTTGGGAGGTATTGGCCTTGAAAAACTGTATCGCGCCACCTAAAAGTTTTGCACGTAACCCGAGATAAACACCTAGCATACATGTACTTTCGCAGTTTTTATTTTAACTTGTAGTCTTTCATTTTTCAAGATTATTTTTGTTATTGCTTTATTGTAAACTGTTAAAGACTCTTATATTTTTCCGTTTGTAGTTTACAAAAAGAGCAACTTATAGAAATTTTTTTGGGGACCAAAAACTATGTAAAGTTTTTTTTTGTGACCAACAAGTCTTTAGGTGCCGAATTTTTAGGAACTCGTAAAAGGATTAATTCCTTTTTTCATTTGTCTGTTTGCTTATTTTTTGTTTCCTACTCAAGGAACCCCAGCAGGCTGCAAAAAATGACTGTCTTAAATTAGTTTTTACGTATATCACTAAAACTAGTGAAAAATGTATATATCAAACACGAGATAAAAAAAATTAAGCGTTTATGGCATATTGAGCACCACTAAGAAATGTGAAAATAAGATGCGTAACGGACTGTTTATGAACATAGAGCTGTTTGGTGCCATGAAGCACTAGCTGTTTTGTTTGATACATAACGTTTTTTCTAGGGATTGATAATATAAACGTCTGAGACAAATTGATTTGGAAGGAATATAAAGGAAGCAACGAGCAAGAATTTTTGGTCAGATTAATGATCCAAACAGATAGTGTAGTTACATAATTCGCTTTTTTTGGCTTGTAAATTGTTCATCGTTTACACGAATTATGTACTCTACAGGGGATACATGTTCAGGCAACGGAATTGCTCAAAGTACCTCTGGTTGTGGGGCTGCATGTCGATGTCTGGGGGGCTGGAGAGGACCATTGTGTGATAGGACTACAGCTGGAGGAAGTGGAGACCCGCATTTGGAAACTTTAGATGGTATGTGTATGAGGACAACCTTCTGTAAAGCAGGAATTCAGCAACCATTTGATGAAATTATTTTTTAAACAACGAAATCAAAGGGTTCACTTTAAAAACCACACTTAGCTAATGATGGTTTCAGCTTCTAATTCAGCTAGAAATAAGCTGTCGATAGAAAACAACTTTTAAACTTCGCAGTACTATCACTTAACTGTGAACGGACTATAATGGTTGTGCATGACATTTTTGATACAAGGTCAAACATGTGGCGAGAATAGACAATAATTTCGCTGGTGCTATTGAAGTTACCTATTTACCCCATGTGCGTTTTCGATAGTTTCGTAAGGACGAAAACGTGCAGAAAACACTAGAATTTTTGCGAAGGCTTCTATGCATTTTAGTGAGGAAAAAACATTACCATGGAGGGTACCTTAAAACTGATAAACAAAGTATCAGGTAGCGACATGTAGAAAAACTCGAATGCTTGAAAAGATCTCAGTTATGTTACCAAAATTTTTTTTCGTCTTCAGGAGTTGAATACGACTTCTTCGGCATTGGCGAGTTCTGGGGTTGCAAAAGTAGAAAGAACGACTTTGGCCTTCAATTTCGCTTTTTCTATTATGAAAGAGCCTCACTGATTGGAGGATTAGCAATGAAGACTGGACAAAGCATTGTAACAGTTATGACAATCAAGACCCAGTATCCTGAGGATTCCCCCAATGTTCGGTAGGTCATCCCTCCACATGTAAGGGCCGGAATCCAAGACAGTCTTGGATTCTGGATTCCACGTCGCGGATTCCGGATTCCAGGTACTAGATTCCAGCGTTTATCAGTGAAACTTGCATTCTGATCGCTAGTGAGATTCCGGATTCTTTCAGCTGTATTCCGGATTCCAAAGCCCAGGATTCCGGATTCTACTAGCAAATTTTTCCCGGATTTCTTATTCCACTGGCAAAAAATATACCGGATTCCGGAATCCGGATTCTGCCAATGTCTAGTAGGTTATCGCTACACAGGTCAATCAACATGGACAACAGTAGTATAGTAGGGAGCGAATTTTCCTTTTAAGTGAAGAAATCTCATCAATTTGCGCGGGAATACGTTAACGCCGATGACATCACAACCGTTATCTCATGAATTAAATTCGGTGGAATCTCATTGAGATAAACGTGTGCTATTTTAACGGGCGGTTTAACCAGTTGCGCAGGTTTTCTGATTATTTATAGGGTGATGAATGTCTTTCTTTTTTATTGGTTTATTTTATTGTTCGTGCAGTTTTTTACCTCCACGTCAGGTGTGCAACGGGATCTCGTTAATTTTCCTGCAGCGAAGACGTTCTCACGGGAAATTTCTGAAGAAACACTTGAAATTAAAGCCACAAATGATACTTAAATGTAGGACTTATTCCAGCGGTTTTTGGCTGGACACGGCACTAGCCTCCTCTTTTAGCAAATGCATTGTCCTTTCTTGGGTGTGATAGGATTGCCATAAAAACCTTCCTGTGATTATGCAATTTTTAGCAATCAAGGAAAATATGAAGTAGATAGTCTTACAAAAAAGCAAGAGGGCAGAATATTTCTTTGTTACTGACATTTATATTTTTAACAGGATCGATGGCTTTTTACTCAATGTTACTGCGAATGCTTCTTCTATCGAAATCAACAATGGAACGGTTTTGCTAGATATTCAAGTTCGTTTCAGCTCACAAGTTGAAGAAAGCAGTGTACTCCTTATGTCGCTCCAATATAAATCAGGTATACCTAGTCTCAGTTTCAACAAGGAGTTAGTGTATTAAGTCCATAGGTCAATATTAGCCCAAGTATTCTATTTGTTGCGGGCGACGAGAGGAGGCCGCAATCCTAATCTCTTGGTCGCTGTTGTGCAAGCTTAGCATGTAGGTAGCCAGCATTCGTTTGGACTTCCACTAAGCGTGAATGGAATTCATTGAACGCAATATGATCCCAGACGTTTTGACTTTCTACGAGGTAAACGTGAAACTTGAACATCGACCAGAAGCCTAAAACTCGCCCGCACAGCCTAACCTTGATGGTTATTACTAGTTTTTGATAACAGACAGTCGATTGAACTAAGAGGAGTGGCTTTGAAAGGGAATTGAATGTGATATTACGGGTTAAATGTACTGTCGTTGATGTTTGACGTTTCTACAGCATCGACACCACTTCGACAAAGTGTTATAGGAATACATTTTTATCGCATTCCGGCACCAATTTGAAGGTTGGGTTAACAAATACCCCGATTTATATGAAATTGTCCTTTAGTGTGTAGACTTATCGTTCTGCATGCAGAAAAGCTAGGACTATGGTTATTTTCCAAGGTCGTAAAATCTTAGACCAAAGTATTTCAGTCTGATTTTTTTAATTGCCTTAACATGTTACATTTCGTATGGGACTAAACCAGAGGTTGAACCTAATTTTTTGGAAACAACTTTATGCTTTCTTGCCACAATTATTTAATCATCTTTAAGCATGGTCAATGAGGCAGATCTTATCAAAATGTTACAATTGGTGGAAATTTCATCCACTGTTGTACTAATTATTTGTTTAATATAACATGTTGTATCCAGTACCTAGTTAGGCGATGTTGGAATTGGTAGGACAATTCTGGATCAGATTTGAATGAGTAAAGAAAAGCTTACCTTTGGAACCTAAAAAGGTTGCATAATGTCAGGCCTACATGTAAATGTCAAGTGAATCCACTTCAGTGGGGTTTTTAGACCTACCACCGGGCTTTAGACTCTACAACTTATTTGGAAAATGGTCAGACTGAGCAAAGCTGACTCGAGCTCGCTTAAACAAAGCTGTAAGAATTTCAAGGTCGCATTGTGAGCAAGGAGTAAAGTATAATTCTTCTCGATATTATTGTCTCCGAAGGGTATCTAAAGTTTAGCGGAAGGCGTTTTTGAGTAGCAAGTGTCTCAACCTTTTTGCAAGACAGTCAATGGTTTTAGTTTTAGCGACTCACTGCCAATCAGATAACCTTAGTGTAACGCCTTAGTTTACCTTTTCTAGGTGTCACAGTCACCGTTGATGTAAAGCATAGTCGCGTCATGAGAAGGCAATATTTGAACGTTCTATATTCACCAACGGCCGCCTATAAAGGTCAAACTGAAGGCCTGTGTGGCTTTATGGACAACAACGAAACTAATGACTTCGCAGGACCAGATGGAACGGTGTATAAAGACGCTGTTCAGTTTGCAGAATCATGTAAGATTTCTTGCAAATTACTTTTTATGGATCGTTTTCGCTCAGTCTGTCAGTCTCAAATCAAATTTCGTGAAACAAAAGAAAGTTTTTACAAGGGAAAAAAGTTAAGACGGAATTCATCAGGTAATTGAGTAATTTTGATTATCAGTGGACAAAAATCTTATACCAGAATAATTTAAAGCATACTGCATTCTTTCTTACATTTTTCAAGGGCTAAAGATGTAATAAATAATCTGCAGTAACACCAAAAAAACTTCTTATGGGAGCTCGAGAAAATGAACGTCAAATATCAAAAAATTACATCTTACCCACGAAATTTTTAGAATTTTACCCGTATAATCACAATTCTTGTGAAATTTGACATTTATTTTCTCGGACTTCCATGAGGAAATTTTCTTTGGTGTTACTACGGATGATTCATTACATCTGTAGCCCTTGAAAAATGTAAAAAAGAATGCAATTTTCTTTTAACTATTCTGGTACAAGATTTTCGTCCACTGAAAATTAAAATTGCTCAATTTCCTGATGGATTCCGTCTTAAATTTGTTCAAGCATTTATTACTATATCGTGTTTACGTGTTTTTCTGGTTCGCCGTTTTTGATTGGCTGACAGACACGCGCCAGTACTTCGGCAAATCTGAAACTGGAAATGCAGTATAACATACAGTACTAAAGAGATTCATTTGCAAAAACTCTTTAGATGTAAAACAAATAAATCATGTACTTGGATTTAAGATGGCTTTTTTAATTAAACAATTTATATCTTTCCAACTTAACAAGTAGATTTTCGAAGCCTTCACTTTTTCACCGGGGTATTTAATCCAAAATAATGTCTCAAACAATTTCAAAACTGCGCGTCATTTTGAACGCAATAAGCCGTGAGACGTCATCCATGTGTAGGTACTCTAACAGAAGCGTAAAATATTCACCACATTGTATAAAATTTGATTATAGATCGTTTTCACACGGCGGCCACATTTGTGTACAAAAAAAAAATCGTGTGGGAATTGAACTCTTTCACATGCTAAAACTTTCTTTTATTTCAAGCAATTTGTAAAGCTGCTGACCAAGTGACGGAAAACGATCTATCTTGTTTTCAGGGAGAATAAAGGATTGTAACAAAGGATCCGGCACACAGGGTTCGTGGTCATGGAATTCATCCAACTTTTTCCATGAAGATGTGTTGGACTCGACATACACCGATCCACTATTCAAACCCATTTACTCGCTGCAAGGAATTTCAGCGTCTGTTATGGAGGTATGAAGTCGATTATCTTTTAGTTGATATGTCAGTTTTGTTGGGTTCAGCAACTTTCCTAGTTTTACTTAAATTAAAAACTACGGTGGTGTAAGGTCATGGTCATTTGTTGGCTTCACACTTGAAACGAAGCGAAGGGCACTTGATTCAAGTGGAACTGGAAATCTTTTAAGATTTCTAAAAGTCGCTCTGTAGAAAACATGGCTTCACACTTAAGCTTGTTGACAAAGAACATTACATGAAGCAAAAGCTGTCAATCGATGGCTTCACAGTAGAAGTGAAGTTAGTTTCAAGTAAGCTCTTGATTCAAGTGCACTTGGAAATCTTAAGTTGCTTTGTAAAAGACATGGCTTCACACTTGTGGACAAAGTATATTACTTGAAGTAAAAGCTGTCAATCTCTCCGTTCATTAGAATCTTGGAACCGCTGCACTTGCACATCGTGCACATGGCTTCCATTTTCTTATTGGTCAAGTGTGTTCTCAAGTGTGGTGTAGACCATACTTCAGAGCAAACTTCGGCTTCTTTGAACTACAAACGTTACCATGGTCACCAAGTAACGTTAAAGTAGGTACATTTTAGCTCTTCACAATCAAAGTAGGCTCCAAGTACACTTACATCATACTTGAAGCTCTAGTGTGAAGCCAACAATTGACTCACTGACTGATTCTACTTTTTTACTCTGCGCTATTTTAGTTATCGTTTCCTCATTATACAATACAACCGGGCTGCTGCTACTAAGAAGTTTGATTGAGACTTACAAAGAATATATTTTGGCGTATTTTCAAGAAAAGTGGTGACATGCTTCGCACGAATCGTACAAATTACGTTCAGATGTTATTGTGCAGAGAATATGCCCCCCCACAGTAAAAGGCCCATCTACAACCAAAACAAATACATTTAGTTATAAGCCCCCCTGAAATATAAGACCGCCTCTAGTATGTATTGAAATTTATTCGATTTTTTACGACGTTTAGAAGCTTCGTAAAGCGAGTAAATTCAAAAGATATTTTTATAATTGCTCACTGCTTTGTAGCTTGTGTTGAAATTCTTTTTTATTCCGCATATAAGTTCCCTTCCGCGCCCCATTATATGCTATCCTAAAAGCCCCTAAAGAAGTTGCATAAGCCCAGGGCTTAGAAAATAATACCTTTTTCGTACTCCACTCTTTTGAGGACATACAATTAAAAGGAGACGGTGCATGATTTACCTGGTCACAATTTCAACCCAAGCCTCAAGTAAACGCTCTTGTTCATAGGAGTACGGGAAAGGTCTATTGCAAAAGTGTCATCAATACAACGTAAAACCCATTAAGTTATATTGTAACTGGATATCTCTTTGAAATTTAGATTGCTACAAATACTTGCAAGGCTTTGGGAATTCCAGACAAGGATTTGAAGAGCTGTATTTTTGACGTAGCTGTAACCAATGACACAAGCTTTACAGATCAAGAACGCTTTAAGAAAAGTAGCCTGAATCATGTTTTATTGCAAAGAAAAGTTTGTGATTAGATGATCTTACCCTTCCAGGCTTAAGTTAAACCTAAGGCCTCTCTCTAATCCTTTGTTATAGTGAAATATTTTTTGTTACTCTATCTAAAATCTGTTGATGAAATTTCTGTGGTGTTATTTTTACTTCTTTGGTACAATCAAAGCCCTCTTTACAGACTCCCGCTTAATATGGACAAGTAATCGTTACTGGCAGTTTGCTTTGTCCCTGGGGAAAGAAAGACCTTACGAATTGTCTAAATTCAACCCGCTGAATACGGACACACCGCTAGTAAGGAAACTTTAGATGGCCCCCTCAGTGTTCGTATTAACGAGGTTTGACTGTAGAACTTTTGCATGGCGTATTCTTTTTAAGGATTATACAAAATGAAAAGGAATGGAAGGAATGCCGTTGGTGGGGCGACGCCTTTCGCAAGAACGTCTAACCGGAGGGAGAATTGAGTAACGTTTCTTTAAATAAAGCAACAAGGAAGAAAATATTTTCATTTCCCTTCAAGTGAAATAGAAAATGAAATGGCTTACAATTGATTTTATTGTCTTTACTAAGAGGGACAATAGTATATATAAGTCTAAAGACAATAACAAAACTTTCTTTCAATTATAAAAATCCAAACTGTGCCTTTACATGGAAAATTTACATGATATGTGAGTCAAACGCTACCAATGGCAACAAATGTATTGTTAATTCGTTCGCTCCTTTGGAAACCAAGGCAGAAGAGGACCTAATATTAATAAACGGTGTTAAAGTTGTTACAGTTTTCTTGAATCTTTCTTTTCTCTTCACTAGGTTGTCCTAACCAGTGCTCTGGTAAGGGCAGATGCATAAATGGAACATGTCATTGCTTAAAGGGATGGGGCGGAGAAAGCTGTGATAAAGGTATTAATAGTTCGATGTGTATGATCGGGCAATTGGCCTGTTTTCCGACCACGTTTCTTGATTTGAAAAGAAACATTTCGATTTACAGGAAGATGGGGGTACTGCTTACTTCACCTACGTCTTTGTTGCAGAACTACCCTAAAATCCGATGATGTGTACGGGGTAGATACAGTTAGTTTTATATATTGACAGTGTAATGCTGGAAGGGACTCGCAATTTCTTTAATCGGAGAGTGTTGTTAGTATAGAGATATCACTGTAACCAGTTTAGTGGCAGCGGGAGGATCTGTGTAGTAACTGAAGAGCTTGAATATTATCTGTTATTGTAGTTCATAGACACCTCTTTTGTATTGTTCCACAATTGACAGTAGATGCCATTCTTTAACCTTTTGTTTTACGAAAGCGACATCACAATACTACGTCCAAATCACTGGACGAAAAAAAATTGGATTTGGAAAAATCTGCTTATTGTAAATATGTCACAAAAATGCAAAAACTAAGGAGTAAATCTGGGGGCAAAGATGGTAAATGCCACATTTGCGTGCCATTAGGGTGTAAATAGGTGGGTAAACGTGGCATTTAACTTGTTTGCCTCAGATTAACTTCTCAGATTTCTGAATTTTTGCAACATATTTTAGTTCCAAGAGCAAATTTGTGCAAATCCATTTTTTCCTCTAGTGAATAAGGTTTACGTTCGACGCATGCTTTCTTGTAAAGTTTTTTTGTAAGTGCCGATAGTGAAACATGCAACAAAAATCATGCTGGTAACGATCACCAAGATTTAAGAACAGTATCGGATGAGAAGGCGCAATCTCCTTGCTAGAATGATTAAAATGATACCATATATTTCGTTTATTGGTAGGTTCTTGTTCAAACTGCTCAATACATGGAAAATGCCTTAAAGGATTCTGTGAATGCGACATAGGCTGGCAGGGACAGAACTGTGATAGTAGAGGTTTGTAGTAATATCAGTTAAGGAATCTGTCAAAATTGAAACAAACAAGTAAACAAACAAACAAAACATAGTGAATACTGAACCTTCATGCATAATAACTCGTTTTAAAGATTTCAAAACGGTACAAGTCGGAGAATACTCAATTTCACCTTTCGTTATTCTTGCAGCTACTTGTTATAATGTCAGAAACTGCACTAGTCCTACGAATGGAGTTTGCAAAGCGACAGACATTTGTCAGTGTAATCCAGGATATATTGGTAACAGAGACTCTGTTCTTTATATGTTACTTCTAATAAAGACTTCTGCTAAGAAACACTGCGTAAATGGGTAATATACAGCTTAGGGTCTGTTTACATGAAGGTAGGGGATCACCCCACCTATCATGTAAACTTTATCAAATCAAAATGAGAGACTATGTGGACGGGCGGGTTACCTCACCTACCTGGGGTCCCCCACCTCCATGTAAACAGGCCCTTAGTTTTGTTTAGTTTATTAAAATTCGCCACGGTGACAGGGCTAAAACGGGCCTTGCGTCCCAACGGATATCAAAGCCTTCATCACCCACTCTACCCATGAGAAGTTGACCACAGCACCGGGGTCTTAGCCCCTACTCTTTGTGAACAGCATTGTGGGTTCTTTTGCGCCATTCTCACAAGAATCAGAAGAGTGAAAGTGCTGTGAGACGGGTCGTATGGTTTCTCACCCTCATCCGAGAAGACTTGAATGTCATGGTCAAAAATAAGGCAGCACATTCTCCTCAAAACAATAGAAAACGACGATGTTACCACGGTCCCAAATTACTAGCATTAAACTTAAGGAAACAAATACCGTAACCATTAATTTAATCGAATTAAAAGTTAGATTGATTTGTACTGTGTTTAATGCTATATGTAATGTTATGTACTTGTCTACGCCGGTTAATTGTACTTGTCAGTGACCAAATCAAAAGCTTTAGCTACTTTGGTAACTGGGCATATTGTACTCTTCAGCACTAGCGTAATATATTCTAACCTCTTTTTTATATTGATTACTTCAATTCTTGGGATTAGTGCAAGACAAAAAACCTGAATCTGAATCAAAAGGTGCGCCAGTTAGGGTTGGACAAAAATACGTGGGCATTATGTTGTGCCAGCGAATCCTGAAAAACTACTCCCCCTTTAAGCCTTTCTCGATCCCGGGCTGGTTACAATTCCTTATTTTATTATCTTTCATACTCAGGTTCTGACTGCAGTATTATTCCTACCTGCCATAACGTATCAGAGTGCAGTAGTAATGGTCTGTGTGTGGATTACGATGTTTGCAAATGTGACAAAGGATGGACTGGGGATAACTGTACACAATTCTCTTGCGAGCACTTGGATTACTGCTCAGGTAACGCGTTTTCTTCTTTACATCATGAATGAAAATTTCAGTCTGGAGCTTCAACCTCTCAGCAAAAAAGGGTTGCTTATTTGCTTATTTTTTTTTTTAAAATGAAAAGGGCAAATTTTAATTCATTTGTTAACTTTCTATTATCAAGGATTCAATTTTGACAGTGGCTTTAACGCTTCTTTAAAGCCTGGCTAAGCTATTAACTCTGAAGGGTAGAGTAATCGTCATGAAATTGAATAAATATATATTTTACATACTTCGCAGCTGGTTCCTTTCTTTTTCGCTGTTACGCGTTGTGATTGTATTTAGGGGAGTTATTACATTTAGTTACTTCCTATCCAATGTAATTTGTTAATTTATTGTTTATTTTCGTTTTTTCTTTTCATAAGGGCGTGGTCGTTGTATAGATTTTTACCAATGTGCCTGTGATAACGGCTGGACTGGAGGCAGTTGCACTGTCCCTGATTGTCTGGATCTCAATCAGTGTTCAGGAAAAGGAGAGTGCGTATCACCAAATTTATGCCGGTGTTACCTTGGCTATAGTGGAGCAAACTGTAGCCAGGAACCGGACTGTGCTAGATTTGACAATTGCAGCGGACATGGAGTTTGTGTAATGTCAGAGTCACCGAGAACGTCTTGCAGGTTAATGACAAGAGTCTATTTTTGAGTTCTTTTGTATTCACGACATCGTTCACTGTCCCGTTTTTCAAAATCCCCTATACATTTTCAGGGAGGAACCCAAAGCTTTTACTGAGATCAAAATAAAATCAAACAAAAATATCTTTTGGGCTATTAGGCACCGATCAGCAGTTTTGTCTGAAACTTTACATTAATTTTGTTGATACGACAACCACTGGGTCAAGAAAATGTGCTTGTAGTAACGAATTTGTGGCCACATAGAGGGGTCACAGTATTTCTTTAACGTAAAAATTTCAATCGCTAAGCTCTTACGCGTCGCAGGGTAATTTATTTGCTAGTGTACCTATAACTGTGTAGCGATAAAGATGGGTAACTGGAAATTATAAGAATTTGGACAAAATGCTTAGAAATTTAATTTCACGAGTTTACCTTTAATTTTGATTACCTAGCTATATTAATTTTATGGGTGACAAATTACGATCACAATTGTAGTTTTTCACTTGCTTATTATCATGTCGAGAACTAAAAGCACTGAAAAGTTTAGAGTCAGAATAGATTTTGGCTTATGTTCACAAGTTTCTGAATTTGTCGCCAAAATACATGTTAGAATCATTTGTGATGTGCTCTTTTGCCTGTTTAGAGTTTCTCAATAATGCCCTGAGATCTTAATTCAGAACTCATAACATTTTAAAAGTATGACGCCATCTTGGCACTGAGACGTACGGAACGTTACCATGGCAATTTGTAATTTCACATGTGAAATTATAAAACGTAAAGGTTGCGGAATCACTGTGCCTTCTTTGACGATTCTTCTTATCTATTGATTTACTCAAATAAATGTACTTTTCTTGTTACGTAGCAACTGACCAAAAAAAAAATGTTCCCACAGATGCTTTACTGGTTTCAGTGGTGCTAACTGTAGCCAACCCATATGTACTGAACTGAACAATTGTTCTGGTCACGGTGTCTGCATAGAGGCCGAGTTCTGTAAATGTTACCTGGGATACAATGGCACGGACTGCAGTAACTACTCTTGTGAAGCAGTTAATCACTGTTCGGGTAAGTGGTTCATTTTTCGGATCTCCTTATAGCATGAGTTAATTAGTTATTGTAGCTTTAATCCGCTAGCTTTCTCCCTCCTTCGCGCTTTTGCATTCTTACTGATTAGTACCCGGTAGTCCGCTTCACAGCCATTTTTAGGGTCGACACGCAAGGGGAAGAGCGTTGCTTGACGACATTAACAACGACTGTGTAACAGACTAGGTAGGATACAGTTATTTCACAACTGTATTTCAAATATTGGAGCAGTGGAAAAACCTTATAGGTCATCGCAAGTTGTGAATGCAAATTATAAGCAGCTGCGTACTTTATCTATAGTCCAAGAGGAAAAAAAGCGAATAGGATTTTTATCCCCATTCTTCCAATTGAATAGTTTTTAAATACGTAAGGGTCTGGGACTTGGGGTGGCATTTATTCATATTATAGCCAATCTGATATACCCTTTAGTGCTGGCCAAGTGACCAAGAATCCATGTGAGTGTCACTTCACTTCATGTTGACGGTGGTTAAAGACAATGATCTTCATGTTAAAATCCTTTTTTTAAAATATTAATTACCTAGGTCACGGCACATGTATTGGATATGATGTTTGCCAGTGTAACGTTTCCTGGTCGGGAGCAGCGTGTAACATCCCAGATTGCAGTGCTGTGAACAATTGCTCTGGTCAAGGAAACTGTATCGGTGTCAACACCTGCTCCTGTTATCCGTTGTTTGACGGACAAGATTGCAGTCAAAAGGCAGCAAAAAATCTTCATGCCCCTGTCTTTGAAAGATCACTTTACAGTGTCAATATATCTGAAAACGCTCCCCTTGGTACATCTATTTTAAAAACGCGTGCCAATGATTCTGATTCGGGAAGAAATGGTCACATATTTTATTCCATGACTGGCGAAAATAATGAAGAAAATGTTTTCACTGTCGATGGAAGAAGTGGAATAATTTACAACTTGGTAAAACTCGACTTCGAGACCTTAAGTGCAGTATCATTCAACGTGACGATTATCGCTACAGATGATGGAGTTCCTCAGAAATGGACAAGCACCGTGGTCCAGATATCAGTGACAGATGAAAACGACAATTGCCCTGCCTTTGTAGAATCCAAACCAGGAAATTTGAATTTTACCTCATTATCTTTAAGCCCAGGAGATGCTCTTATCAAAATATCTGCCATTGACCAAGACAGTGGAATGAACAGCGACATAACTTACAATATTTCCAACAACGATGCGTTTACTATTGATCCTACAACTGGCATTATCTCTGTGAAGTCGTTTCTTACTAAATCAGAGTACAGGTTCACAGTTACTGCAGAAGACAGTGGAGCTCCTCCCTGTGTGACGGAGAAAAATATCACTGTTACTGTAGGAAAAACGAGTTCCAGCCGGCCGCAGACAGACGCCTCTTCCACTCCGTTCACGTCCACGAGACCGAAGACTTCAACTCAAAACGAGAAGCCAGAAAAGCCAAGCTACACTTCTGAGATTACAAATCCGGCTACAGACCCAGGTAACATTGTTAATAATATGGCCGTAAGCTTAGCCATGGCCAGCTTTATTAGCTAATTAGTCCTCATCTTGCCTCATGTACAGTAGTCCAAGACAGTCTTGAATTCAGGATTCCACTCTGCGGATGCTGACTTTCATGTCCTGTATTCCGGATTCCTTGTCAGCCATCCGAGGCTTTTTATATTAAGTTATACAACTGTATTTTTTGACCAATCAATGCTTCTAAGACTAGTTCAGTAATTATAAGCGATCGCCAAGTCCGAATATGAGAGCGGCACGAAAGCCCTTATATATTTACAGGCTTGCATTGCACTGGTCAATGCTAAGGTCTAATAGATAGACAGAATCGTGAAATACGGCGATAATTCATTTCAATACTTCGTCGATTAAACTTGATCTTACCTTGAAAGGACAACGGTACACAACAGTTTAGGTAATATTAAGTTTTTTGTTTGTTTGCTTCTAATACAGCAGTCGTCGCCGTATTTTACCCATCGATATTCCTATATCTTATATTACACATTTTGTAAGGACTTCCTGTACACCCACTGCTCTTCAACGAACATTCAGACAGCTGGCATGGGTAAATGAAACTGACGTTTAGTTATTTTCACTTATCTCTTGCGTTTGCTTTCAGCAGCTACCAGTACCAGGTTCCGAAGTCCCACTCGTCTTGTTTCATCGCCTTTCGCAGAAGAGGCAACAAAATCTTCCCAGAGAAGTAAAAAGTTTATGGTGATTGGTTTGTCAGCATTTGGGGGAGTTTTGCTGTTGGTGATCATAGCCTTAATCGTAGTGAAAGTTGTTTGTAGGCGCAAAGTTCTTTGCGGGCAGACTGAAGTAAAAGATGAAATTCATGTCAACCAAGCATTCGAAATGTCGGATATGTCCGCAAAAACCTAACATGGCGTTGCATTGGTGCGTGTATGACATAGAGTTCATATATCAGTTTTAGTTGAATCTTAGTAAGAACCATGATTATTACGGTCTTATTCAGAGTAGGTATTTAGCTCTCTCCATCCCCTCCCCCTATCCTAGTTTGATTAGATGTTATTTGTTGCTATACCTTTCACGGTTATCGCAGTAACATTATGAGCGAGCGAGCTCAAAGCTTATGTTCAGAGCTTCGGTTATACCAGTCTCTAAAGAACTAATTAAAGAGGCAAACTCAGTTCTCTACAACTTTATTTGGAATGGGAAAGACAAAGTCAAGCGCCTTGCATTGATATCTGATATAGAAATGGGTGGACTCAAAATGTTGGACATTCAATCTATGATTTGCGCTAAACGAATAACATGTTTAAAGAAATTATTAGAGGATTACTCAAGTCCTTGGAAAGTAATCCTAGACAAACTTCTGTTACCAGTCGGAGGATGTTTTGTATTGCACTGCAACTTTCAAACTTCTAAATTGAAAATCAGTCTACCAGCATATTATAAGGAATGCTTCGATGCGTGGTCGGAGGTTAATGGGAAGACTCCAAGTTGTTACGAGGAAATCATTAACGAAATTATCTGGAACAACAAATTTCTTTGTTATGACAAAAAATCGATGTACAGAAGAGATATAGTAAACTTAGGCGTCGTAAAGATTAAGGATTTAATTTCTGCGAACAACTCCTTCTCGTGCGACTTCTCTTCACTTACAAATCCTGAACAAAGATTTTTTCTTATGAGTATTATCAATTCGATTCCCGCAGAATAGCGCTCACTTATTAAAGCATCTACAAACGTAACATCAGCTAATCCCATACCGATTACCCCAACTATTAAGTTGCCGAGTGGTAATGTAGCGCCAATCCTTGATATCTCTCCAAAACAGATCTATCAAATCTTTCTGCAACAAAAGCAAATTGTGCCCACCGCAAAATAGAAATTATCGAACAAGTACTCAAATATAGATATTGATTGGGAAAAGGCTTACACTTTGGCCTTTCATTGCACTTTGGACACAAAGATCAGGGAATTTCATTACAAAATTTTGAATTGTATACTCTTTACAAACGTGAAACTTAATTTAATTGGTGTAGTGGAATCGCCAAACTGCACTTTCTGTCAAGAAGCACCGGAATCTGTCGAGCATTTACTCTTCTCCTGCAGGATATCTTCTGAGTTTTGGAAGCATGTCTTGTCCTGGCTAAGAGATAATGATGTTCATGTTGAGACAATTAATGAGTCTGATGTGATATTTGGAAAATTTGATATTGTAGACGACTATATTCTAATTAATCATGTTTTGTTATTAGCTAAATATTACATCTACTGTAGGAGATGTCATAATATCGTGCCTTCAATTAGAGGTCTTATTGCTAGGGCAAGACGTGTCTTCAATATTGAGCTCCATATCGCCAGGGAGAAAAATAGACTTCTTTTTCATTATCAAAAGTCGGAGAAGCTAACTTATGTACTTTGTAGTAGTTGATACACGTAGGTTCGTTAAAATTAGTAGGCATCTTTATTGTTATCGTGGTTGTTGTAATATATATATATATAATTTCGTTGTTATTGTTATCCTTTTTCTTTTTTTTTTTTTTTTTTTAAGTAGAATTGTATATTCATTTAATTAATGTTTATTTTTAACTAACATTGTAAAACTCGTCTTTAATTCAATAAAAAAAATTTAGCAAAAAAAAAAAAAAAAAAAAAATGAGCGAGTAACCTTTACATTCCTAAACAAAACAGGTAACATAAACGAAGGAAACATTACGCAAGATATATAAGAAACAAAAGAGTGTGACAAGAAAATCATGGTACAGGGGTGGTATTTGTCAAGAACGGCACTTTTATCCCGTCAAATAGCAGTGTAAGATGCCTATAATGACGACGAATTTTAAGGAGAAGACGTAATATTTCACTTAAGAATACAGTCGAACGTCCAGTAAGTGGCCAGCAAAATGTGAAGCTAAGATTCAGTGGTCGCTTACGGGAGGTGGTTGCTGAGAATGATCGAACCACAGGGGTCTTTTCCGAGTAGAGGTCACAGCACGTATGATTTTTGAAGGAGAATTTACTGCATGAAATTTCTAACTTGCGATTTGTTAAGCTTTGTGTTATGACTAAAAAAATTCTTCGTATACTCTGTGTAGCGCAGAAAATACAGTACATAATGATCAGACCACGCAGATAAGTACGTGGTCGCTTACAAGAGGCTTCCCAAACCGTGCTCGCGGTCGCAGTTACGAGAGGCGATCGCACATGAAGGTTCGACTGAAATACGGAGCCCATAAGTTTTGCGTTCTATAGTAAGCACATTCCACTGATTTAGGTAAATTTTACAGTAATTCGCACAGGAAAACAATCCTATCCACAAACTTGAACGTTGTAACATATGTTTTTGAAATTAATGTAATAAGAAATGTAAGTAGTTCTAATGTACTCCGTGAAGATTGATATTTCGAATCGATAAAGCTCATTAAGCGTTTAGGTGGCACTTTTCTTAAATAAACTACCTTGTGTTCATATGAAAGCCGGATCTAATCATTGTTTTATAATTCATTAAAAACTATTTCTTTAATTTTCACTACTCTCCATTTACACGTGCGAATATGTTATTTTATTTTATATTATCACTTCAAACACTTATTAAAAAACACGTTTATCATAGGGTAAAGAGGAAATGGGCTAATCCGCCCAATGCCATTATTCCTACAAAAAAAGTTTCGCGTTCTTTTTATTCCACCCCAAGAAGGGTAGTAAGTATTCTTTAAGCTTTCTCCTCCTATTTCTATGAAGATGAGGCCGGCTCATTTGTAATATTTTTCGTCAAATTGTTTGATCTTATTTTGTACAGTGAACATAGGTGATTCGTTATCAACTTTAAGTTGAAGGCCTCAAATAATTCCTGCTCACGGTAGTTTTGGAGCCTTGTTGCCAACAACACCACAGGCAGACCACCCTCTGTCTGTGTGCTCGATGTGGTGGTGCTGTTTCAATACAAGTCGAAAAGAAATTAACTGAGTCATTATATCCTGTTTTTTTCCTTATTTTGCGAGATAATTACTTGGTCGGGGACAAGAAGTATAGAAGAAGAACAATGTACAGCTGTACACAGAAATCTATATGTAGTGCCCTTCAAGCAGGAATTGACACCAAACCATGGCATTTCTCAGCTCGAATACAAAAGATATTTCTTCATGTTCTCGCCAAAGCAGGGCTTTTTTACCTTGGCTGCAAGCAAGGTCGCCATTTACATCTCCTTCCGCGTGCTGCTCGCAGGCTAAAATGTAAAAAAGGAAAACGACCCTAAACTTGCAAGAGCAGCTTTTGCAGTGAAAAAAAAAAAATTAAAAAAAGAGGCGGCTAAGGGCCTCTTCTTGTAACTTTATATAGATTTTTCTAATCAGGAGCTCAACCACTTTCTCCTATTGTTTCCCCCCTTTTCCCCGTCCCGGCCAGAGGGCACCCCCACAGCACCAGAGAACTTACTCGTCGGAGAGTTAAACCACAGGCGGCCGAAACTCGGCATTGCGAAGAAATGTCCCCCTTCCCCGGTTGAGAACAAATTGAATTCTTTCTCCAGGGTAAAGTTATAAGAATCGAGGATTTCTTTAGGAGTAGTGTAAAAAAAGTCTTCAGGGGTGAATGCAGTAGGCCACCTCCGAGTTGCTTAAAGCCTCTGTTTCAAAGCGAGGTTATGAAGGGATCGATATGAAAATGATTATTTTATTCTCATGCAAAAATAACTCATTTTCACCCGAAAGGTTTGCACTTAGCTTTGTTTTGAAAACGAGATATATATTTTGAAACTCGGAAATGGCCTGTTTTGTTTAATCTCGATCAGGGGTAAGAAGAAAAGGTGAGTCCTCGACCGGGGGGTACGGATGTTAAATGCAACAGCCCGATTATGGGGCGAAGTTTATGGGCAAGGGTGGGAAATTTTTGAGCTGCATGAATTCCTTTTTTCTTATCATTTTCTTTATTTCTTCACGTAGTTTTCCTTTGCATCAATACTTTGGGACTCCCGAGGGTGTTGGCTTTCAGTACTATGTTTCTAACAAGAACGCGCTACAGCGCCTTCAAATCTCGCTTGCTTGTAGATTAGATCGAGAAATGAGGAGGCGATTAATTCTACACGAAACACTTACTCTCTAAAGGTTTTTTACCTCCTACTTTATCGACGTCGATACTTTAAACTTGTTTCTGAATTGATTTAATACGCGTGTTAGCGACGACCGGAAATACGTCTGCGGTCGCAGGCTATACGCGTGTATAAATACAAGAGAATAGGTCTTTGCACTAATGACGTTACAAATTTCTGGTCCCTGCTGGTCTCTCTTTTTTCTTCTCGGATCAAAACATCATCTCAGCAACAATAAACTCTTCAGCATGCAAGATTGATAACAACAGCATTCTTAAATTCTTTTCAATTCAACAATGGTTCACAGTATCAAAAAGTACACTGTATGAGTCCATGCAAAATTCTGTCAATACAGAAATGGGAATACTGACCAATAACACTTAGAACATTATCAGAAACTAGGCCAAATAAAAGACAATGTGAACAAAAGCCGCCATTCTGGATTCACTCATATTCTTTCAGATTAGGTAAAGCATCCTTCACGGTTAACTCCATCACCACTGCTATTAGGTTGTTGAAGTAGTGTTCCTAACATTCCATTTCTTCTTTTTTGCTACCTGCTCGGTAGTGGGGCAGTCAATCTTGGCTCTTTTGTAGGAAGTGGAACTTCTCCTAAGCTTTTTTTTATTATTTAGCTTCCGTTTGTAACACACGACACCTTTCTGCTTCTTTCTCAGCTCAGATTACTCTGTAGTAAACTTCTGTGATAGCTCTGTAGCAGTTTCTACCATTACCTCTGCTGTGCTTATGCCAGCTCTATCGCTGCTTTTGATTGAACTCTTCAGTTTGTTCTTTCCGTCAATAAGGAGCTGGCCAACTCCTTCCAGTATCCTGGTGTCATAATAAATAAATAATTATTACACCCACAACTCCCCATTTTTTATGACAGCTACTTCCTTTTGGTGGCTGTTGTGAAGAGGTTCAACTGTGAGTTTTTAAATTTGGATGGTCTTAAAATACGAATTACACATAACATGTATAATGCTTAATTTCCAGGGGTACTCCCATATGAAGGAGACAAGAATGCTGTCCCTTTGGGAGTAAATAAATTGCAGATCTGGTCTTCCTTAGGATATTCAGGGTACACTGTACAATAGACATGTAGAAAGCCAACTGCAATACCCATACAGGTATACGTATGGCTAAGTGAGGGTTGTGCATATTTAATCTAATTTAATAAATATATCAATACAGTAATTCAAAGCTATTTTTTCAGTTTGCAGGGAAGTTTTGCATTTAGTACCTTATTTTTACCCTATTTTCGCAGAATACAACATTATTTTAAAGAGCTCTATTTTAAAACGTTATTGCTTTATCAGTCTGTATTTTTTATTTTAATTTGTTCTTCAGTTTCCTCTATTTTTTTTCTATTTTAATGATGGTTTTTGAATATTTTTTCTATATTTTATTGTTCTTTGATATTTTTGCAGTTTTCCATTTCAGACTATTTCAACCCTATTTTCTTCAGAATTTTATTATATACTATTTTAAGGCTATTTTTGGTTTAAAATAACAGGTTACATAGAGTAAAAATATCTTTAAAATAGCACATGATAAAGCTTAAAAATAGAGAAAAAATAAGGAATTGATAGAGAAAAAATAGCATGGAAAATAGAGAAAAAATAGGCACTATTATTTTTTGTAAGGGTAAAGTAATATAAATGAGTCTATAAAACAACCAGTTCTGTGACACAAATGTATATTTTTCACATTGTATTTTAGAACCAACATGTCAATGATAAAATTATTGCAGTAATGTACAGCACCACTTATTTAATTGTCTTTTTTAGTACAATCTCCTTTAGGGGAGAAATAATACTAGTAATAGTTGACACTACAGCTGCCCCCGCTCTGTATATTGTCGGTCAATAGTATTCTACAGTGTATTCTTGCTCCTAGGGTAGCTCTTTGAAATATACCGATTCATAATGAAGATGTTCACACATATTCCATACAATACGTGAGATAAATTCAGGAAATAAACGCAAGGCTCTATGCACAGTTTCAGTTTGATTAACGCAGCTTTCATCAAAACATTCTCGGTTTCGAGAATACGGTTTATTCTAAACCATAAGAAAAGATTTAATTAGAAGTTTAATTTTTCACTATTTCTTTTTCACTTTTTACATTTAGTTCGTTTTTTTTGCCGGAAAGTAAGCCTTAGAAATTAAAAGGACGTTTGATCAATTCACGCTCGCGCATTCTAGTCTTATTTTAAACTTTATAGCGGAAGGACATCTGTGAGCAGGGAATAAGTCAGCACAGAATTTAATGGTCGGCGAATTTCTGTAATCGTACATCGTTCTGCTAGTGATAAGCTAGCTGTTGAATCATTCACTCTTCTTGCTTCTTATTCCGGTCAAAGAGAGAGAAAGAGTGTCTGGCAAGGTTTCCAATCA